TTTACAAAATAATTTTTACAAAAACAATTAACATACTCGAATAAATTTTGCCAATTTTAATGAAGGAAAAATTCTAAAAAAAATTCTAATTAAAGAATTTTCATTAGCATGATTAATTGGATGAATGTTATTTTTTCATGGTATAGAAAATTTCTGCCAGGATGTGTTCAATTGACAAATTTTATTTATAAAAAAAAATTAAAATTTAATTCATTTAAAAAAAGACAAAAAAAAAATTCATCAATTGAATTTCGTTGTTATCATCATAGGTATTTTTTAACAAACATAATCATTGATCGGTGGTGTTGGTGTTGGTGGTGGTGTTGGCGTTGGTGGTGGTGTTGGCGTTGGTGGTGGTTGCAGTTGCTGTGTTATTTGATTTGGATGGAACAGTTTTTGCCAATTTAATTTGCTTTCTATAAACTGTAAAAACAGAAACAAAAATACCGATAATAACGATAATTATTATCGGTATTATTATAAACATTATATTTTTAGATTTTGTTGATTCACTTGTTTTTTTCGATTTACTTGTACAAAAAAAGAAATCTTTCGAAGATTTTACATATAACGGAAATTCTTTAAGAGAATTATTCAATTGTAATAATGCTTCATCGAAAATTAAAACTTTTTGTTCCTTTTTCGAAATCATCAATACTTTTCCGTATGCACTAAATGATAAAACAATTGATTTCAATAATGAATCAGTCAATTTTATATCTTTTTCATCACATTGTTGATATTCTTTTCGTGAAATTACATAATTTTCATTACTAGTTTCATTCTTAGTTTTTCGAATACAAATCCAACCGGTTGTATAAAGAGCTTTTTTTGTTATTGGATCACCTATTAATTCATAACGATTTTTATATAATTCATTATGCATTATAAATTGTTCTTCACCATTAGTCGCTAATATGTAACGAATATCTTCACCAACAATAAATCTCATTTCTTGTATATGAGTGTTTGTATCGAAATCATATGCATAATATTGCATTGAATCATTTTTATTTAATAATCCAATAAAATATAATAAAACATGATTATTATGTTCATTGCTGGACAATTTCATACGAGTCAATGATAACCATGGTATATTTATTGCATGTTTTGCATATTCACAATAATCTTTTTTCATTTTTGGTTGTATTTCTTTGAATGTATATCGATANTCGATAACCTTTTTCTAATTTTAATTGATTCAAATCTTTATCCAAATATTTATCCAATGGTGGTGGATAAATAATCACAGCACATTTTTCGAATTGATATAAATAACCATCGACCAATGATAGACCAAACATTTCATTATCAAGACCACATTTAATCAATTTATTAGCAGGATATTGTTTTGGAAACCATAAATCACTATCTGTTGCTAATGTTGTTGATTGAAACAACATTGTAATAACAATAACGGCTGTATTCACATTAGTTGTCATTTTCATTTTGGTTCTATTTTGGTTTTAAAATCAATTTACAAAATAATTTTTATAAAAACAATTACCATACTCGAATAAATTTTGCCAATTTTTATGCAGAAAAAATTCTAAAAAAATTCTAATTAATTCATTAGTGTGTTCAATTGACAAATTTTATTTAAAAAATAAATAAAATTAAATTCATTAAAAAAATTCATCTATTGAATTTCGTTGTTAAACGGTGGTTGTATCACATTTTTCGAATGTATTTTTTTTATAACAAACATAATCATTAATGGGTGGTGTTAGTGTTTGTGGTGGTGGTTGCAGTTGCTGTGTCAGTTAATCTGGATCGAATAGTTTTTGCCAATCTATTTTTCTTTTTGAAAAAATCCAACGATGATGTTAGTGGCATTGATGGTTGGTCGGGATGATGTTTCTTTCTATAAATTGTAAAAGCAGAAACAAAAATACCGATAATAATGACAATTATTATCGGTATTATTATAAACATTAGGTTATTAGATTTTGTTGATTGAGCTGGATTTTTAGCGGTACAAAAGAAAAAACCTTTCAAAGGTTTTACATATAACGGAAATTCTTTAAGAGAATTATGTAATTGTAATATTGCTTTATCGAAAATTAAAACTTTTTCTTCCTTTTTCGAAATCATCAATATTTTTCCATATGCACTAAATGATAATACAATTGATTTCAATAATGAATCAGTTAATTTTATATCTTTTTCTTCACATTGTTGATATTCTTTTCGTGAAATTACATAATTTTCATTACTAGTTTTTCGAATACAAATCCAACCGGTTGTATAAAGAGCTTTTTTTGTTATTGGATCTCCTATTAATTGATAACGATTTTTATATAAATCATTATGTATTATAAATTGTTCTTCACCATTAGTCACTAATATGTAACGAATATCTTCTCTAACAATGGATCTAGGTTCATCTATATGTGTATTTGTATCGAAATCATATGCATAATATTGTATCGAATCATTTTTATTTAATAATCCAATAAAATATAATAAAACATGATTATTATGTTCATTGCTGGACAATTTCATACGAGTCAATGATAACCATGGTATATTTATTGCATGTTTTGCATATTCACAATAATCTTTTTTCATTTTTGGTTGTATTTCTTTGAATGTATATCGATGACCTTTTTCTAATTTCAATTGATTTAAATCTTGATCCAAATATTTATCCAATGGTGGTGGATAAATAATTACTGCACATTTTTCGAATTGATATAGATAACCATCGACAATAGAAATACCAAACATTTCATGTTCAATACCACATTCAATTAAACTATTATTTGAATATTGTTTTGGAAACCATAAATCACTATCTGTTGCTAATGTTGTTGATCGAAATAACAATATCAGTATAGCAATGGCAACAATATTCATATTTGTTTTGGACATTTTTTTTTTACTTCAATCAATCGATTTATCACAAATATAAAACTTTCCAAATAAAAATAAAAATAATAATAAATTTCAATAGACATTCTGGGAATAAATTTCATCAACTTTTATAATGAAAAATTGAATTGTTATTAAAAAAGAAAGTAAATTTTTTAAGAATATTCACAATTTGATTTGTAAAAATTATTTTGTGAAAAGTAACGTCATCTAGCGAATTACATTTGATCTATTTTAATAATTTTTAATCAATAAAAAAATGGAACGAATAATTTAAAAAAAATCGATAAACAATAATGAAATTGTTGTCAAGTAAATGAATAGAAAATAATTTCAAATTAGCAAATAAAAACTTTATTGTTATTCTATGAATTTGTCATTTGACAAAAAAAGTAATTTTATTGAAAAATGTTTGATAATGAAATGAATTTTAGTAAAAAATAAAAATGAAAAATTCTAATCAACAAAATTATCTACTTGATTGGTTGATCATTAATTATGGGTATGATTTGTTTGTTTGCTTTTTAGTGTGATGCAAATTAATTTTAAAAAATTTTTGAATCAATCCATTCAATAATATCATATTGTAGCTATACCGGTATACAAATGAAATCGATACAATGGTCTGATTGGAAATCAATCATTAATATGATTATCAATTTAATTATCAATTTGATTATTTTCTATACATTTGTCATCAAACGTTATATATCATGGGATATTATTATTAATGATAAATTAAGCTATAATAATCATAAAAATCTAAATGATTTTATAAGAATATTTTCCGAATATTATGGTCAAATAATGTGGTCGTTTATGACAATTTATCAATATGTTTATATGCCTTCAATTGTACAATCAATGAATTCATCAATATTTAGAAAAATTTTTAGTTATAAACATCATTCATTAATTTTTTTTACAACAATATCAGCTATATTTTTACCAGTTAAATTCAATTATTTAAATCAAATCATATCAATGGATTTAAATATTTTCAATTTATTCCTTGAAATTTGTATTGATCGTATATTTTTTATGCCATTGATAATCATTGGATATGTTAAATATGCAACAAATAAATTATTAGAATTATATTTGATTGATCAAATTAATTTGAAAAGAAAATTTCAAACGAAAAATGATGGACAAAATGAACATAGACGATGTCTTCAAATACAAGAATTAGCCCGAATCAATCGATATTTTTCAAAAATATTATCACCATTATTATTAGTTTGTTCAATATCATCTACTCTGAATATGATTTCATTTTTTTTCTGGCATACTGAAGATTTACCATTTTTAATAACAATTTTATCATTATTATCATTTTGGAATTGTTTTGCTTATGTTGCCTATCAGGACAAACAAATTGATAGATTATTGAAAAAAATTATTAAAATTTTACAAATCAATCAATTTAAATGTTGTTGTCGATGTCATCAATATCGTCAGTTTAATCGTCGAAAAAATCGATCTATCGATAATGATAGAAAAACGTCCATCACTAAAAGTTTTTATTGTAGCCATAATGTTCGTCATATTGAATTCTATAAAGAATATTTAAATGATTTTCATCTAACAATATTCAATATTTGTCGTATTGATTTTTCATTTTTGTTCAATTCATTTTTATTTACAATGACATTCATTATATTATCATTACAGATATTTTAATATTTAAACATATTTATTCATTCATTCATTTTTTTGAGACTATTGTTGCGTCAAAATCGATATCAATTAATCAATCTAATGGATATAGAAATATCGATTCAATGTTGTTGTGTGTGTGTGGAACGATTTGATAAAAAAAACAATTATAAAAACTTGCATAAAAATTGAAACATTTCAGTAGTTCATCATCAATAAAATTTGAAAATAATTTTTGATTTAAATTAACAAAATATCATAAACAGGCTAGGAAAAAATACATGTAATATATCGATTAATTACATTATTGATAAATCGATAGATTTTATAATAATAAAATAATTAATTCGCTTCGTCATATTTTTTGTTTTTCCATTTAAGTTGTTATGAAATTTTTCTCGAATTTGTTTTTGTTGTTGTTTTTTCGCTTGTTTTATAATAAACCAAAAAAAAAAATGGTTCAGTGTTGGGAAATAATATCAATCATATTGAATCTTGGATACGATGAAAATTCTTTTAAAAAAACAATGAATATAGAAATGGATAATGAAAAAAATTATCTACTCAGTTGGCTATTCATCAATCTTGGGTATGTAAATTTTATTTTTGATTAAAATTTTTGATAAAAAAAATTTTCATGAATCAAATCACAAATTATGATATTTGTACAGTTATACTGGCATACAAATGAAACCAATAGATTGGTCTGAATGGAAATCCATAACGAATGTAATAATCAATTTGATTATCAATGTAAATATTGCCTATACATATGTTATCAAACGTAAATTATCATGGGAAACAAATAAATCAAATGAATATAAAAATCTAAGCAATTTTATACGAATATTTTCCGATCATTATGGTCAATTAATGTGGTTATTCACTACAATCTATCAATATGTTAATATGCGTTCAATTGCAAATAAAATGGAATCGTTAATATTTAAAAAAATTTATCGTTATAAATATCATTTATTCATTTTTTATGGTATAACATCAATTATAATGGCACCAGTAACATGTAACGAATTTTTACTTATTTTTGATGATAAAAAACATACAAATTTTTTTGAAAAATGTTATTCAACATTGATCGGTTATTTAATTAATCATTCATTTATGATACCATTAATTTTAATGGCATATGTTAAATATGCTACTGTTGAAATATTAAAATCGATTAGTATTAATTGGAATAAGAATATGATTCGAAATGAATATCGAAAATCATGGATGTTCAATTATAATTCAAATTATAAACAAGAATTACAAGAATTAGCCATAATAAATCAATATTTTTCACGAATATTATCACCATTATTATTAATATGTGTAATATCAGTAAATCTAGATATGATAACATTATTTTTCTGGAATCTAAATCTAAACAAATCAGAATTTTTATATACATTTATAATATTAACATCATATTGGAATTATTTATTCTATGTTATTTATCTTGATAATCAAATTGATAAATTAATGGAAAAAATTATCAAAAATATCCGAAATAATCAATATAAATGTTGTAGTCAATGTCATCAATATCGATTGCTTAATTTTGACAAACTATCACATCGTATTAATAATAATGATAATGAAAAAATATCCATCATTATTAAAAGTTTTTATTGTAGTAATAATATACGTTATATTGAATTTTTTGAACAATATTTTGAAGATTTTCATATAAATCTTTTCAATATTTGTCGTATTGATTTTTTATTTCTATTCAATTCATGTTTATTTACAATGTCATTCATTATATTATCATTACAAACAACGTATTAAAGATTTTCACTAAAAACTTTATCAATTTTGTTTGATTGATTATAACCTTTAATGACCTTTATCATTACAGAAATGGAAAATTGTTACAATTTTTGTTGTTGAATACACTACAATTTTGTTGTCATAACAATAAAATAAACTAATTATCATTTTATTAATAAATAAAATTAATTATTCAAAACAAAACAAAAACTAAAAAACATTGTTCCATTTGTCATTGTGTCTAATTATTTAGATTAGATAACAAGATCATCAACAACAACAAAATGGATGAATCAATCAGCCATCAACCATCACCATTGATATTCAATTTTATGGTCAATTTTTTAAGGTAATTCAACGCTTATATTTTCTTAAAGTTGTTTTCTCATTCTCTGGTTTTCCCAAAAAACCATCTCTTCACCTTTCCCACCAAATAAAAAAAGATGTTTAGGAATTCCATTGATAAGATTTGATGAAAATTGGCAAAAATTATCAATCAAAATGATTATCAATCATTTATATTGTATAATGGTATTTATTTTAAATACCTATGTTTTATATACAAAACAACCAATAACATTTACATTTCTTGATGAAAATTATTATAATAATGCATTTTTAAATTGTTTCTATATGATTTATGATCAAATATATAGTCTATCATATTGTATTATAACAATTTATTTTTATATCTATGGTTCACATTTATATACATTACTTTGTAATGATTTTTACAATGATGTTTATCAAAATTATAATCAACAATCCAAATTAATATTTATCATATTATTTTCATTTATTAATTATTGTTTTATAAAATTTCATCAACAATTATTACAAATGGATAGAATTATCGATGATATTTGGTTCAATATTCAATTAATATTTGTCTATTATATACTATTTATTTATCAATTTTTACCATTAATAATTTATATTTATATAAAATATGCAACAAAATTTCAATTAGATAAACATTTTCAATTATTTCAATCATCATCATCATCATCAAAAGTATCATCGTTTGATTTAAATAATGGTGAAAAATTAATCCACACTATACAATCATTAGCAAAATCAAATTATCAATTAGATCAATTATATTCATTACATTTTTTTATTGTATTCATTTCGACTATTATCGATTTTATTGTTTGTATTTCAAATTATAATCGTAATCAAGATAATTTATTTGATAATATTTTTTATTATTCAATAATTATTATACATCTTTTATATTTAATGAATTTGAATGAAAATATTCAAATGATTATTAATGATATAGAAAAATTTATCAACCAAAATCATAATCATCAACGTTGTAGAAAAATGATCAATTCATTTGATCATAATAAACGAAAAATTTGTTTACGTTTAATTGAATTGAAATTTTTTTTGGAATATTTTCAAATGACAATTTTAAATATTTTTCATTTAAATTTTCAATTATTATTAGAAATCATCTGTTTTATAATGACATTTTGTTTATTGGTTGTACAGACAACAAATTTATAAATCTTATTAATAGTATTTTTTTTTTGTAAATTAATTATCCAATTAAATGAATTTTAGAAAAAATTGTAATTTAATTATTAAAATTTTAAAATCAAAAATAAAACTTATAAATTATCGAAATAAATTCGATTGATTTGATTTATATTTTCATAAAACATTAACTTGGTTATTTTTTTTGTAAAATTCGATTTCGTTCAATTATTTTTCTTGGGTTGGGGGTCTATAAAACAAAAATATATTTTGATTCAATCAGGGAAAATAATATTCGGGGAAAAAGAAAATGGCAACCAGTGTTAAGATAAATGTTTATCATTTATTTTTAATGACAAGTCTTTTAATAACATCGATCGATTCATTATATTTGTTTATAAATGTTTGGAATAATGGTAGTGGTCTACCACCTAATAATGAATCATTAATAAATTCCACAACAAATTCCACATCAAATTCTAAATCATCATCATCATCATCATTGATATTTGATGATGAACCAACACGTCGTATTACATATTGTATAATTGTTGCAATTCGTTTTATATTTGCATTTCTAATGTTAATATATGGTTATATTTATGGTTTAAGATATAAAGATCATTCACATTTATTTATACATTCAATGTATTTTATATGGATTTGTGGATTTTTATTTGTTTTAGGTATAATTATTACCTATCAACAATTTGTTTGGTCATTAGTTATACAAATTATTCATCTTTATATTTCATTAATCTATACATTTAAAGCATTTCTTTATCATTATGATGATAAAATTGATGCTAATTTGGATTTTGGTCGTCGTACAGCTGAATTTGAAGAAATTCAAGCTAGTAGTACATCATTGGATAGAGCATCAAAACGTACACGATATGGTAAGTTATTAAAAAAAAAACAAAAATTCATTTTTAATTTCAATTTTTTTTTAATATTCAAATTAAAGGAAAAGTATTATATTTTGTTAATAAAAATCTTTTGGCTATTTCAACATTATTGATGATTTTATTGGCAATATCAATTGCAATATTATTACGTCATACATTGATACCTGGAAAACCATGGTCACAAAGACGATTATTACGATTAGCATTTATTGGTGAAATATTTATACGTGTATTGCTTAGTTTAATTGTACCATTGGTTGGTTCATCGATTGCATATGCATGTACCGGTTTTGATCCTGAATTATCCGGTCATATTATGTGGGAAGTTATGGTTTATTATTTAAGTACAACGGGTTTTGCTGCTATTGAAGGTTTAATTATCGTTTCAATTATAGGACCCGGTTATCATACAAGAAAATCAGTTACAACAGTTGAACAAAAAATTCATAAAGAAAATTCAACAAAGTTGACTATTACGATTGAAGATACAATAATGGATATTTGTCGAAATATTTTTACTGATAATATTTTTGATTCATGGATCGAAACATATCATACGAAATTAGTACCACCGATTGATAATCCAAATGAATTGAATAAAGATAAATGGCGAATCGAATCGGTACAAGAACGTGGTGCAAACATAATGTCGGTCGTTGTTGTTGGTTTATTAGTAGGTTTATCCATAAATATGATACGAACACATGGTGGTCGAATACTTGTTGAAATAATTGAAACAGTCAATACAATTATGATGATGATTACATTGGCAGTTGTACAAACAGCACCAGTTTGTACAGTATTTCTTATAATACCACAGATATTGATTGTTGATGATATTGGTGAAATGTTTAGTCTGGTCGGTTGGTTTACATTAACCGTATTAATATCATTATCAATACATTGTTTTGTGGTATTACCATTAATCTATTTAGTATTGGTACGAAAAAATCCATTTAATTTTTTGTCATATATGTTTCCGGCTATATCTACAGCATTTGCAACTAGTTCCAGTTCGGCTACAATGTCAGTTACGATGAATTGTTTGGAAAATGATGCAGGTGTTGAACCAACAATCGTACGATTTGTAATACCATTTGGATCAACAGTGAATATGGATGGTGCTGCATTATATGAATCGGTTGCTGCTATATTTGTAGCACAATATCGACGAAAATCATTAAATCTTGGTCAATTAGTTACAATTGCAATGACATCTATATTGGTCAGTATTGGTGCAGCTGGTATACCACAAGCTGGTATGATTACAACGGTAGTTGTATTGAATTCAATTGGTTTATCATTGGAAGATGCTGCACTTGTAATGGTTGTTGATTTTATGTTGGATCGTTTTCGTACTGTTGTCAATGTATTGGGCGATGCATTTGGTGCAGGTGTTGTTGGTCATCGATTACAATATATGTTTAATAATACAAACAATAATAATAACAACAATTTACGATCATCATCATCATCAGTTATAACATCAACAAATTTTAATGATAATAATAATCTAATAAAAATGGATAAAAATCAAATTATATTAAGAAATATTGAAAAAAATAATAATAATATTGATAATCAACAAACATTATCATCAACATCAATGACAACAATGACAACATTAACATCACCAAAAACAATTACATTTGAAACAAAATCAACATCAAAATCACCATCATCATCAACAACAACAACAACAACGGAAAAACAAAACGAATCGAATCAAATGAAATCATAATCATTAATCATAATCATTCAAACACACTAGATGGTAGCACACACACATTCGAATCTAATTTTTTTTTTGTCGGTTTTGTTTTTTTTGATTTTGTTTTTTTTTTTTGTCATTTTTCAAATGGTTATTATTATCATTATTATTGATTATATTTTCACAATCATTTCAACAATAATTTTTATGGAACAATCGAGAATTTATAAATATAATATCAACCAAAAAAAAAAAACTTATCAAATTATGAATTCATTCATTGTCTATCTGTGTGTATGTGTATGTGCGTTGTATTGCAATGTGAATTTTATCGATCTGTTGATGAAAATGATGGATCGATTACATTGGATTGTCATGGATACTTGAAAAGGTAGTATAAAAAAACACACACATAATGTGTTTACTTTGAATGAAGAAGAGAAAAAAATCAAATTTTTCAAATAATTTTTGAAAAAAAATTAAACTTTTTTTTCTGGTAATTCATTAATGATCCGTTTGACAGTTGACAAATAGTAGCTCAAAAAAATAAAAATAAAACGAAACGAGCTACTTTTCTTCAGTTGTTTGGCCCTTATCACAACAACAAGATAGAATTCAGAATTTATTTTATCATTCGAAAATGCAATCAAATGCTACAATCATTTATCCGGCCTGTTTTCTATTCCGAAAATGGTCACTAATCATAATAATATCATTAGATTTGATGATAATATTCTATACAACATTTGCATTAGTAGGACGATTACAAATGTTAGATTTTAATTCGAATGAAATCAATAACCAAAATCATTATCCAGAATTGTATAATCATCAAATTCTACATGGTGGTACAAATTTGATTCATAACGATTCAAATTTGGATGATAATAAAGAATGGATAAATCAAACATCAATGTTAATGGAAAAGAAAATGAAAATGGAAACGGCTACAACAACAACAAATAATCCGTTTGATCTTCTTTCGTCATTAGCATTTAATAATATTGAAATTCCTACGGTAAAATTAACAACAACAACTATGGCAACCGAAACTGATCCATTTAAAACATCGAATGCTGATGACAATGATAATCAAATTGATAATGATGTTAATAATCGATACAATCGATATCATGATGATCATAATGAAAAATCATATAATGATAATAATACAAATTCATCAATATCATCATTTGAACATTCGATTTGGTTTGAAATGTTTGAACATCGTATCTATCAACGTCCAAAGGTTTGTTTAAATGATATTTTTTTTAAAAAAAGAATAATTATTTCTCTTCTTTTTATCGATTATTTAATAGATTGTAGCTCAAGTGATGACCAATATGTTTGCCTATATTGTTTGTTTAATCGGTTTGATTGGTGTATTGAGAGAAAATTATTTCCTAACAACAATTTATGCATGGTTTGGTTGTTTTTCATTAACAACAAGTATTATTATATATGTTTTAACATGGTCACCGGAATTATTTGGAAAAATTATTTCAAATCTATTGTTTCTAATATTATTATTCTTGTATCTAAAAGATTTGGCTTATATACGTTTACAAATTACAAACAATATTATAATTGTTACTTAAAGACATAATGGTAGATTTACCATTATTGAAAATGTCATATGATGATGATCGACAGAACAACAACGACATAAAAAAAACAACAAAACATTGTATTAATTAATTAAAAACATGAAAAAAAACAAATTTATTTCAATTTAATCAATTGATTGATTGTGATGATGAAGATGAATTTATTAAATAAATTTTTTCTGACAAGGCCAAGGTGTTAAATTGATCGATTATTTTTGCTATGTTTTTTGCCTTTCTCGTTTACTTCATTTGACAATCAATATTATGATATTTTCATTAATGATGAAAATATTTGATTAAAATTTATGAATATTCAAATTAAAACAATAACAAAACAAAACAACAGGAATTATTCTTAGGAATAGAATATTCTTATTGTTGAATCATCGTTGATTAATAAATTCTAATAACATTTGTATTCAAACATTCAAACAATACGGTACCCCGATATATCATATATAAATGATATGTATATGAATGATAATGGTAGTCATAATAATCGTCTGACCACTTCCGCAGCTAAACAATGGATGAATATGTTGGCCACATCTAATCATCATCATCATAATCATCATAATAGACATCCATTAGATATGGATAATAATCGTAAATCAATGTTTCAATCGAAAATAAATTTAATCGATAATTTAAGCACACCGAATGGAGATGGAAATCAAGATTTTCTATCAATGTTGAATAATAATGTTGGCGGTGGTGGTGGTGGTGGCGGCGGTGTTATTGGTATGGGTATGGTCAATGAAGAAATTCATGGATCTGATCCATTTAACGATCAACCAGATATATTGAATACATCGAAAACATTACATAAACAAATATCAACAATATCATCAACATCATTATCATCAATGTCAACATCAACAATATCAAAATCATGGATTATACGTAATTGTCCACAATCATTACAATTATTAGTAAAATTTTATCGATGTTTTGGTATTTCATTTACTGGTATTGTATTTGTTAATGATGATAATGATCGTTTTGGTTTAACACGAACAACAAATAATAATACAGGAATTGGTAAATCATCAACAACAAAAATTTATTCAAGTTCAATGTATTACAATAATAATCATAATCATCATCATCAACAACATGGACGTACAAAACAAAAACCAAATTCATTGATGATGAAAAAAATTCAGGATAATGATGAAGAACAATTTGGTTTAAGAATGCAACGTTATTTCTTTATCCTATTAAACTTAACAATGTTGTTAATATTTTTACTTGTATTAGGTCGTCTTGTTAATGATAAATATATTAATCGTTTGAATGATCGTAATCATACAATGAATGCTAATGAAACAACAACATCAGATGAAACAACATCATTGAATGGTAATGAATTGATTGAAAAAACATTGGAATTTCCAAATCAAACATCAATGACAACATTGTTAATCGAATCAAGTATTTGGGATGATTTTTTTCAATCAATCAATCTTAGTGAAAGTCATGATCAGATTAGATGTTTAAAACCAATTCTATCGAATATAATTGATTTTCTTTATATAATTGTTGTTTTTGATGAATTAGTACCAATCATTTATCTATTGATACGTGGACGTAAATTGATAAATTTAATCATAAGAATACCATATATTGATGAATTTGATCATTCAAAAAGATTTGCATATCGTTCATTAGCAATTGCATTTATAACAGCATTATTTATCAATATAATTGGCTTTATTTCATTTAATCAAACATCTAAACAGATTATAATGGATCCGGAACAATATTTTAGTTCACGTTTATTTACATTGATTGCACCAATATTCAATACATTTCTTTTCGTTTATTTATCAGTTATTCCAATAATGTTTATCTATACAATGATGTTATTTAAATTTGTAATCGAAAAATTATTGAATACATTTGCTGTGGTCAATTTGGATGAAATATTAATGTTAAAATTGAAGACAAAATTATCCGATCTAAATGATCAATTCAAAGAAATTATACCGAAATTTGCATTACCATTGACCATACATTTTGCAACAAATATATTCATTATTATAAGTTCAGCATGTTATCTTATGATTGATCTTGGACCCGAAGGTACAACAAATACAGCATTCATATTTAGTTTGGGTATATTTTCATTTTTACGTTTAATTATTGTTGCTTGTTATGGTAATCTACCGACAAATATTTGTCGTGATCTAATTCGTACTGTATATGAAAATCTTGAACAATGGAGTTTAAATGAATGGATGTGTTTTATGGAATTGAAACGTTTACGTAAAGAATTTACTGTATCAATATTTTCAATGTATACTGTACGACAATCATCAATATTGGCAATGTTAGGTTTTGCATTGAATTATATTGTCATTTTATTACAAACAGAAAATTATCCATCAGCAAATAATTCAACCATAACATCGAATATGACAAACGAAACAATTATCGATGATTTAATGAATGAAAATAATCTAACTAAACAAATGCTAATCGAATCGGATTATCATCATAATGAAACAATATTTAATACAAATGAAATGTTGGAATTATTTTAATCATATATGTTTATTAATTAAAATCCATTAATATAATTAGATTAGACTAGATTAGATGTTGATCTTGAAACTTAAAATAATTAGAAGAATAAAATATTTGTTCACCTTAATGACCTTGATCCTTGATCAAAATACATTAACCAAATTATTATTATTATTCAAAATAAAGATAATGATTCTTGATTAGAATAAATTAATTCATTATTGTTTTCCATTATTTGTAACTGTTGATGAAATTTTGAATCAATATCTTGACATTCAATAATAACATGTCAAATATTTTGGATCTTTATTGATTCATTTTATTATTATTATTAATTAAAGAAAAAACAATATGAAATTTTTGTTTATTTCGACACTATATAAAAGATGATTATAAAAATGCAAATTTATTGATTGTGTTTGTCATTTCCGATTAATGTATTGTTGGCCAGAAAATTATTTTATTTGAAACAGGATTAGATGGAAAAATGTTTTCGCAGGTATCGAACATAAATTCCTGTCGTGTTGTCGATGATGATGATGATGATTATCATCAACAACATTATCGTCTTGGCTATAGAAATCAAATTTATGATTCAAATTTTAAAAATGATGATAACTTAATTGTATTTGATTATTTGGAAAAATCCGGTTCGTTCAATGATTTTGAATCAGTTTATCAAAGAATATCGACAACAACACCAATAATGGCTGAAAATAATAATAATAATCAAAAACAACAAATACCCGAATGGATTTTGAATGATTGTCCACCATCATTGAAATTTTTAATTAAAATTTTTCGGTAAATTTTCATATAAAAATAACAGTTTTTTTCATTATTTTTTTTTTGTTGGTTTCCATTCAAATAGATGGAATTACACCACATTCGGTGGAATTATATTCATCCGCAATGATGATGAATTAAATAATCGGTATTGGATTCGATTGAAACATTATTTATTTAAAATGATCAATCTATATTCAATAATTATATTTTTTACAATTCTAATTGTTGAAATATATAATGGATATTTTCAGAATATGCCCAATTCAATACAATCATCAAATGAAACAATGATGATGAACGAATCACAAAACGTCGAATCAATCGATAATTTTGCATTGAATCGAACAATGAATCAAATTGATAATGTAACAGAATTGGACGAAATTTTTCAATCACTTTATAGTATTATGCATAATAATGATGAACTAATTGAAACAGAAAATTTGAAACCAATTTTAAAAAATATCATTAAATTATTATTAGTTGTTCATCTTATTGATTTGATTATTTTTCATATTTTTTCAATAATTTATGGTCTTGATCTTATTCGAAAAATATTATCCATACCATTTGTAAAAGAATTTGATCAATCAAGAAAATTTGCTTATCGTTCATTGGCTGTTTCTTATATAATTTTAACATTAATCACTTTGACTGGAAATATTTTATTAAATAAAGAAAGTTTAATAAAAATCATCGATCCACAAAGTTCAATATCAACTAGATTTTCGAAATTTTTTCAAATATTCGGAATGATTATTGGATTCTCACATAACATCATAATGCCATTATTGTTTATCTATACGATGATGTTGTTTAAATTTTGTATCCAACGATTAATCGACAATTATGCTATGGGTAAAAACGTTTTTTTCTGATTCAAAAAAAAAAATCTAAAACTAATTTTATTTTACAATATCATTTTATTAGTGGATAATTTGGATGAAATTAACATGATTAAATTACGTGCACAATTATCGGATCTAAATGATCGATTTAAAGAAATTTTACCATATTTTTCAATGCCATTGACTGGAATGTTTGCATCAAGTATATTCATCGTAATAAGTTCATCATGTTTCCTAATGATCAATAATACATCACATAGTCATTATTATATTTCATTCGTATTCTGTTTAGGATTAATTGCATTCTTAAGTTTGATAATTGTTGCTTGTTTTGGTAATCTACCAGAAAATTGTTGTCGTGATCTAGTACGTATTGTATATGAAAATCTACAACAATGGCATTTGAATGAATGGATGTGTTTTATGGAAATAAAACGTTTACAAAAAGAATTTATCGTTGATATATTTTCAATGTATACTGTACAACAATCATCCATATTGGCAATGTTAGGTTTTGCATTGAATTATATTGTCATTTTATTACAAACAGAAAATTACACATCAGCAAATAATTCAACAATACTATCGAATATAACAAACGAAACAATTGTCGATAATTTAATGAATGAAAATCTAACTAAACAAATGCTAATCGAATCGGATTATCATCATAATGAAACAATATTTGATGCAAATGAAATGTTGGAATTATTTTAAATCATTTATGTTTATCAATTAAAATTCATTTATATAATTAGATTAAATTAGATATTGATCTTGAAATAATTAGAATAAAATATTTGTTCACCTAATGACCTTGATCCTTATCAGAATAATGATAATGATAATTAGAATCAATAAATTCATTATTGTTATTATTCTTCATTTTTTTTCATTATTTGTCACTGGTAAAACTTTTCATCATCATCATCATCATCATCATCATCATCATCGCCATCAACATCTTCCGTTTCATTTTCTCTACAAAATAACACCGATAATAATGATACATTAATAAATTTCAATAATACGTTAGCATAAAATTAACACAAATTTCAATGACAACTTTATAATTCAATTAATTCATTACATTCAACGGAAATTATTATTAACATTATTAATTGAATAAACATCTTATCTTGTTTGGTTATAATTAAAAAAAAAATATATTTGTCTGTCAAAATATTCTTTTAGTTTTCATTTTCTTTATGTAGTTTCATTAGTGAATTGAATGCCGAATCGATCAAACCACCTTATAAATTAACTTTTGCATCAATAATAATAAATTTTTTTAGTTAAAATTTGTAAAAATTTCAAATTTAAAAAAAAAATGAATGATAATAATCATCATCCAGTAATGATTACAATGTCTACAAAAAATAAAATGATAAAATCTAAATCATCAAATCCATATAATAATAATAATAGAAAACAACCAAAATGGATTATACATAATTGTCCACCATCATTAATGTTTCTAGTTAAATTTTATCGGTTTGTATTCATTCTGTTTTCAATTATCAATCAAATAAAGTTTTGATTCAATTTTTCTTTATTTATTATTGTCACCCTCTCCATTTCAAAACAAAAATTTAGGTTTTTTTCCTTTTCATTTTCGGGTATCGTATTCGTATCGGATAACCATCATGATAATGATAATCATGAAGAACAAAATAATAATAATAATAATGAAAATTATTATTGTTGGTTAATATTTAAACATTATTTTTATCTAACATTAACTTGGTTAGCTATACTATCGAATATAATTGCGCTAATTGCAAATTTATATCGTGAATATTTAAAAGATATGCATCGATTACCGATTGGTTCGATAATTTTTATGAAAAATACAAATTTTAATAATACATTATTTTATCATCGTTATCATTGGACTAATAATAATAATAATACAATGATGAATGATAATGATAATAATAATCAAACACAATTATGGTATCAATTATTACAATTAGGTTTTTTTGGTTCAGACGATGAAGATTATATTGAAACAATAAATTTAAAATCAATATTACGTAATATAATTAAATTATTATTAATTGTAAGCATTATTGAAATGATTACAATATTATTATATTTTCTAACATCTGGTGGTCATATTATACGTTTATTAATGAAAATTCCATATATTTATGATTTTGATTATTCAAAACAATTTTCCTTTATATCATTAATAATTATATTGATAATATCAACAATAATTAGTATGATTGGTTATATATCATTTCGTAGTCCAATGATTAAACAGATTATCGATCCAAATATATTGTTAACAATCAAAATTCATCGATTATCCGAATTATCAATGTTGATTTTTGGTTTAATATTTCTTAGTTTAGTACCAATTTTGTTTATCTATACAATGATGTTATTTCGTTTTGCTATCAATCAACTAATGAACACCTATGCAATAAGTATATTTAATTGATTTGTTTGTTTGATTAATTAGTAATTTTTTTTTCAATTTAGCAAATAAATTGGATGAAACCAACATGGTAAAATTGAAAACCAAATTATCCGATCTAAATGATCAATTCAAAGAAATAATACCTTGTTTTTCAATACCATTAACAATAACATTATCATCAAGTATATTTACTGTAATCAGTTCAGCTTGTTTCTTGATGATTTATAATGCAAACAATAGTAATAATCTTTATGTTGCATTTGTTTGTAGTTTAGGTATATTTTCATTTATACGTTTAATTATTTTAGCTAGTTTTGGTAATCTACCAACCAATATTTGTCATGATCTAATACGTATTGTATATGAAAATCTTGAACATTGGAGCCTACATGAATGGATGTGTTTTATGGAATTAAAACGTTTACGTAAAGAATTTATTGTATCAATATTTTCAATGTATACTGTACGACAATCATCCATATTGGCAATGTTAGGTTTTGCATTAAATTATATTGTTATTTTATTACAAACGGAAAATTTTTCCACTGGAAATGATAATAATAATAATAATAATAATAACAATAATTAATTATGAATTACAAGAAAATAATTAAAATGTATGATTTTATTCTTGATTTTTTTATTTTTGTTTTTTTTAAATAAAAAAAAATTAATGAATTTTATTTATGATTTTTTTCCGTTTTTTAAATAATCCGATACAGCATTTACATATGTTCCATATTGATGTTTTTGTTGTTCATAAAATTGTTCGGCCATTTTTTTATCTGATGTATTCAATGATGTTTTAACAGCAACTTCATCGTTAAAAATTTCAACTGGATATGGTTGAATACCAATCGAATTGATTGTATTATCATTTTTTATCATTTCCATATTCATTATTTTTGGTATATTATTTTCCATTTTATTTTGTTCATTTTTTATATCAACTTTTATTTCTCGTTGTGGATATTTTATTATTATCGGTATTTTAGTTTTTTCAATCACATCGTTTACATGAGATTTTGGTGGTCTAATTTTAAATTTTTCATTTGTTTCTGCTGATGAAGATGACGACGACGATGATGATGATGATGATGATGATGATGATGATGATGATGATGATGACGAAGATGATGATCCTGATGATGATGATGATGATGATGATGATGATGATGATGATGATGATGACGAAGATGATGATCCTGATGATGATTGTGGACAACTAGAAGAAGATATTATATCCGCTTCAGACGATAATGATGTTTGATTTGGCAATATTAATAATGGTGGACGATTTTTAATGGCCACCTTTTTTGATGTTGATGATGATTTTTCTTTCTTATTCTTTTGATTTATTTTTATTACAGAATTTTTTCTAGATCTTGATTTTGATTTAGATTTTGATTTCGGTTTTAATTTCGATTTTGACTTGGATTTCGATTTTGATTTAGATTTTGATTTTGATTTGGATTTCGGTTTGAATTTTGATGACAGTCCATTTGATAAAGGTGTAGAATTTGAACAACTACAAGAACTACCATTACTACTATTGGATGAATTACAATTTGAACATGGTACCGATGAACCAGTAGAAACAGATAAAAAATCTGTTGCTGCTGATGATGATGACCATGCTGATGATGATGAATCGCCAGTCGTTGCCGATGAATTCAATCCGGAAGATGGTGGTGATGATAATGATGTTGAATCTATAAATGAATCATCATCATCAAAAAATTCTGGTCTTGTAAATTGATGTGATCCTAAACGTCTATTATTTGATTTTGGTACAGCAACCATTGGTAAAAATCTATCACCACATTTAATAAATTTTACCACTTTATAACATTTTATTTTTTGAATTTGTCCTTCATCATAATCATTATCTCGTTGTTGTTGTCGTAAAAATTGTTCCAATCGTCGACGATTCATACGATTACTATGTTTTTTTTTTGTAAAAAAAAAATTATTCAAAATTTAATAATTATAACACACCGACACACACATACCCTTGATTAACAGATCAACAACCATTAATGGTAATCAAAATATCCAAAAAAAACATTTATTTTATCAAAAAAAAAGAAAAAGAAAAAATCATATTTTAAACAAAACAAATCATTTGCCAAAAAAAAAATTCACCTACTTGGTTGATTGTTACCCATTGATAATTTTGGAGAAAAAACGAATCAACCATGAAAAATTATTTGTATCGGAATTTTTATACAAAGAAAAAAAAAAGGAAAAAAAATTCGAACAATTTGTTTTTTTTAGAGAAATTCAATTTTATAAAATTCATTTTCGTCGATTCTTTTTCTTTCCACCCTGTTGTTGTTGTTGTTGCGGCTGTTGTTGTGATTGTTCCGATTGTTGACCACCTCCACCACTGCCACCACCACCACCACCACCGGATGATTGCTGTTGTTGTTGTTGAGATTTTTGTGGATTCTGTCTTGATTTCAATTTCGGTATCATTGATGCAACATATTTTAATACTTGTCTTTTATTCTTAAATTGTTGCTGATCATTATCATTAATAATACGATATTTTACATATCCACGTAAACGAATATTTTCCTTATCCATTTCACGACAATAACATTTATACATATTTAATTGAACTTGGAATTGTTGTGAATTGGCAGCCAATACATTGAATATTTCTTCGGCCAATGGATCGGCAATACATTTTGAACGTCCTAAACGACGACCACGATCAACAGTTAAATTTGAATTAATATATTGTGGATATATTGTATGCCATTTTTTTGTTTCATTTGGATCTAAATTCGGTACATTTGATTTTAATGCCTGCATCATCATTTGTTGATGTTGTTGTTGTTGCAATTGTACATTAGCCGCTGATGCTAATGGTTGTTGCGGATTTATTTGCTGTTGTTGTTGCTGCTGCTGTTGTTGTTGTTTCGGACGTCGAGCCATTTTTGAATTTTTATCTCATCCAATTTCCAATTCCAAACAATAAGAATCTAAAACAAAATCCAGAAGAAAAAAATCCACGTTGCATAACAACAACAACAAAATCAAAACAATTTCCATTCATTTTCCTGGGAAAATTTTCTTCACATCCAAAAAATGGAATTTCCTAGAAATTTCTCGAAATTTTTTTTTTCAAATTTTTTCATTTATTTTCGGCGCGAAAAAAAATTACACATCACAAATGATAATGATAAATTCTCTGATAAAATTACAATGTACAAAAGCATATTACATAGGGGAAAAAACGTTATCTACAACAAACAATAATCATCATAGGTAATTTTATCAAGAAAAAAAACATGAAGGTCATTTTACGACCTCAGTAACATTCAAATGATAAGATATTTGATGGTCCTAGAAACAAAACAAGAAACTATTTACCCTACTAAAAAAAACAAACAAAATTTGAACAGGTTTCGTTGTTTTTCTTTTTTCGGTGTTGTGTTACTGTCCATAGTTTTTTTTTATCATTTGCACGGCCCATACAGGTTATGGTCAAAAATAATTTTACTTGTACCTAGCCGTAAAGGTAAACCTACCTATCTTGTGGTCAATGCTTCCATGTATATTTTTCTGGTTGACGTGACTTTTTGGTCAAAAATTCACGATAACCATAAAAACTTGGTATCATAACGAAACAAAATAAATTTAGTGTTTTTTTTCACTTCATTTCATTATTATTCGTGAAAAGAAACAAAACACACACATATTGTATTGATTAATTTTACAAAATTTTAAAATTGTGTAACTCTGGGCACAAAGTTTTTTTTTTAATTTATTCCATTCTTTTATCAATTAATTTATGGAATATCATTATCATTTGACGTCAACAGCTGCTAAAAATTCGAATTCCAAAAAAAAAGAAAGATAACCATTAATACCCATCCAAAGGTAAGTTGGATCAAAATAGATTCGAATCTTTTATTGCATTTTTTTCGCATATTGCAATCAGTTATTATTATTTATCGATTTTTGAATTATGAAATTATTTGGAAAATCAATTTGCATTGACCTCGAATCAATCGTGAACAAAAAAAAACCATGTAAAATCTAAATGATTATTACCAAAAAATAAAAGATAAAATATACTTGTGTTACGAACAAATAGGCTTAGTAACAACAACAACAAATCAATCGGCCTTGACTATATAAGCAAGAAAATATCTGGTTCGTTTTTTTCAAAAAAAAACAAAATCCAAAATGAAGAAAATTTTTGAATTTTCCATTTTCGGTTACATAATTTTTCGACTCTTTTTTTTCTCATTCTCATTTGACGCGTAATCACCTTTTTTTCGGTAATTTATTTTTGTTATGAGGTCAAAATTGTTTTTTTCTTGAGAAAAAAAAATATATATGCTACTCTCAAAATCTGGTTGTCATGACAATCCGGTTATGAATGTTTCTTTTTTTTTTCTCTCTATCTCTATTTTAAGATTCGGTACCGATTTTTCCCCCTCATAATAGTAGTTTGGTTTATTAATTTCATTTTACCAATCTGTTTTTCTGTTCATTTCAGTCATTTTGAATAAAAAAAAAGACATTAAAAAATTTATTCTCTGATCATCAATCGATAAGATTTTCAATATTTTTCATTCTGGCCAAATCGAAGGTATCGTTATTTTTATTTTTTATTATTATTATTCATCCATCAAGGTTAGTTGCATTTACATTGTTTTCCTTTATCATCATCATCATCGTCATTATTTGTTTTGTTTTATTATGAATCATCATATATACTTATCCTTTTTAGAAAAAATGTCATTGTGATTGATTGTGGTTGATTGATTGATTGATTGATGTATGCATTGATGATGGTTGGATGGTCGGATGACTTTTTCCTGACTTTTGAAGGTATTTCATTATCATTTGATATAATGACCAAATGCTTGTGACCTTGTTGTTGCTGTTGTTTTCTGTTTTTTCAAAAAAACAAAAACAAAATTCATCATGTGTGCTGTTAGTTTTGCTTTCGCATATCGATGTTCCAAAATGATGATTTTTTTGTTTGTTTGTTTGTAGAAAACAAAAATTTAACTTGTGATTTGAACTTTTTTTTCTGGCATTTCTTTACGTTGTTGTTTTTTCTTGTGATTCGAAGAATTTCAATAGATTTTGTTGCTGCAATAAAATTGAAATCTTGTTCAAAATTTTTGAAATGAATTCTGCAGTGAAGAAGAAATCTTAAGATTTTTTTTTGATCAAATCAATCGATAGAAAAAAAGATTTGAAATCTTTAAAAAAAACAAAAATCCTTGAATTTCAAATTAATTCATTTTTTTTGTGAACGTTTTTGATTCGAATTTATCATTGAAATAATCAAAATTAAGATAAAGGTCATGATGTTTTCTTTTCAAATCGTTTCTTTTTCTTGTTGCTCTTCTTATTCTGATCATATTCTGTACAATATAATACAAAGTATACAAAAAATAAACGATATTTTTTTTCCTTCTTCCATTTAAAATTGATCGTTTATCGTACTGTAGTGGTGTGTGAATTGAATTTAACCCGATGAAGAAAATTCCTGTGAAATTACAACAAGAAAAACAACAAACTAAATTAATCAAATGATAAGAATTTTTGTTTTAAACAACTGGTTCTGTTCTGATAATAATAATGGTGGTGGTGACTGGTTGATTGTCACTTTTGTTGTTGTTGTTGTTGTTTTTATGATACCTGTTTGATTTTTTTTTCTTCTTCTTCTTCTTCATCTTCTGAATATAAAAAGATGATGATGATGTAAAGGAAGCCAGAATAGAAAAGAAAAATTTCATTCAATTTTCAATTCTAACTTTAATTTTCAAATCGAATCAAATTTTTTCTTGATTTCACTATAGTGAAAATAAACAAAAAAAATTTGTTTTTCGTTTACACATCTTTTCTGTTTCATCAATGACATTTATAAATAGCTATAATTTGGTGATTGATTGATTGATTGATGACAGGTAAGCAATCAATTAAACAAACAACCAAAAAAAGAATTTTTCCTTTTTTTTCACCAATCAATCATTGAATCAATTGTTGACAATAAATAAATAAATATAAATGATCAATTGAATTGTAAAAATTGTTTGTTTTTTTCGCCAAACAAACAAAAAAATCTTCACGATTTTTTATCACTCTTTAAAAAAACAATAAGGATACTATTTTTGTCAATTTCCTTGTCAACATTTTTTTCTGTCGAATCATTCAATTCTTCGAGCAACAGCAAACAGAAAAAAAACAACGAAACGTAATTTGAATCTGTCATTGTCGTTGTGATAGGTAGTTATTTTTCTACTATTCATCATCATCTTCATTAGAATCCAAAATTTTCTTTGCTTAATCATCATAGAAATAGTCGATTTTTTTAAATTTGATTTTGATTTTTAAAAATTATCAAAATTAATTTTTTAAATTTTAACTTTTATTTATTTTTTTATTATTCAATAACAGAAAATCAACAATTTCATCTGATCTGAATAATTTCAAATTTGAATGAATTTTTGAATAAGAAAAAGGTTTGAAACGGTGAAACAACAAAAAAATGGCTACAAATAATAATAAAACTGATCAAGATTGTCGTATTAATTTATTGGATAATGATCATCATGAAGATCATAGTGATCATCAATTAATTAATAATAATGATAATAATAATCAACAAAATGCATGTATTATAAAATTTAATCCAAATCAATCAACAATTCCATCATCATTATCAACAACAACAACAATTAAATCAACGGCTATTTCAACAAAAATTGTTGATGAAAAAAATTTAATCATATCGAATAATAATGATCATCATTGTAAAGAAGATGTACGTCTTGTTTGGCATAATTTATCATATATTATTAAAGAAGGTGGAAAATTTAATTGTAAACGTTCAATAATAAAACGTCCATTGATTAAAAATCTAAATGGTTCAATACATGATGGTCAATTAACAGCTATTATTGGACCATCCGGTGCTGGTAAAACAACATTAATCGAATGTTTAGCTGGTCGTCGAATAAAAGGTGTTAAAGGTGATATTTGTGTAAAATATAGTGGGTATGTTATTCATTGGAAAATAATCGCAAAATTTTTATTTACAAATTTTTTTTCAATTCTTTATTAATATAGAATACCAAAATCAGCTATAAAAATATCCTATTATAGTCAAAATGATTCACTTGATGAATTATTGACCGTTGAAGAATCATTAAAATATGCATTACGTTTAAGAAATTGTCAACGATTTGGTAAATATTTTGGTTTCGGTGTGGATAAAAATTCGGATGAATTTTCCAAATGTTGTCTATTAACATGTGAAAATTCAATGAATGAAGATGAATTACATAATAGTGGTAAAGCACAGATGATGATGATGATGGCCGATACAAATATAGCGAAAAAAATGAAGAAAAAAGATATTAACGATTTGATTATACAACGTGTTGTGGATGAATTACATTTGGATAAATGTTTAAAGAATCGTGTTGGCCGTTGTTCGGGTGGCCAAAAACGACGTTTATCCATTGCATTAGAATTGCTTTTTTCGCCAAAAATCTTACTACTCGATGAACCAACAAGTGGCCTAGATTCGCTTAGTTCACTTCAATGTATTCAAATGCTTAAAAAATTGGTTAAAAATCCACGATCACCAATGATGATTGCAACATCGATTCATCAACCTACAGCTAAAATAATGTCCTATTTTGATAATCTTTATATTATATCATATAATGGTTATTGTATCTATAATGGTCCAACAAAAGATCTTGTTTCAAAACTTTCATCATTTGGTCTTCATTGTCCACAATATCATAATCCAGCAGATTTTGTTATCGAAGTTGCTACCGGAGATTTTGGACAAGATGTAATTATGGGCATGGAAAATCATTTTCGACAAATATGTCAAGATCAAACATCTGAACGTTTAGATCAGAATGGTGATGCAACAATGAAATCATTATCCATACATAAACTTGTACAACATACACAAAAACATTCATTATTGGGACAATTATTAGCTATTTGGGTATTATTACGACGAACATTATTGATATCATCAAGAGATTTTAATATCTATTATGTACGATTAACAACAATTCTTACCATACTTATATTGATTTTTATTCTTTATCGAGATAATCCAATTGGACAATTAGATGGTTGTGCATTACGACCAACACGTGATACAGTGGAAAAAATACAAACATTCGAAATGTTTAAATATGAAAATGTTTATTATGCAAATTTTGGTTTCATATTTTTTTCTGTAATGCTTATGGTATTTGTATCAATATTACCAACATTATTAACATTTCCATTGGCCGTATCGGTATTCATGAAAGAAAATTTTAATGGATGGTATTCATTAAAATCTTATTATATTGCACGTAATCTTGCCGATTTACCACCAATGTTTTTCTTTCCATTATTATATGGTTGTTTAGCCTATTTTATAACACAACAATTATTTGAATGGCATCGTTTCTTAATGTTTCAGGCTATATTAATAATCGTATCGATATTAGCACAAGGTCTTGGATTTATTGTATCAGCATTTTTTGTTAAAGATGTTACTACATCAACTGTAGTTGGTGGTACACTTAATATACCATTATTTTTATTTACCGGATTATTGATAAAAATATCAACAATGCCTACATATTTTCAACCATTTACATATTTATCATATTTTCGTTTAGGTTTTGAAGCAATATTAGTAACATTATATGGTTTAAATCGTTGTGAACCAGTTGAACCAATTACATATCAATATTTAAAAGGTGAATTTGGTGATAATATTATCGATATGTATGTTTGTCTTTCGGATATATCACCAACAGCACCAGAAAATGTTACCTATATGATTGATTCTTATAATGAAAAATTTTTAACAACATTAAATACAACATCATCATCATTAGCATTGAATGCATTTGATTATAATGATCATACATTATGGTTTAATCTAATTTTAATGGCTATTTATTTATTATTATTACGTACATTTGCATATTATATTCTATATCGTAAAACATCAATTAGATAAATCAATCAAATCATTCATTCAATAATTTCATTCATTTTCATCAATCAATTCCATACAATTAGCAATTTTAATCAATTTATCAGATTGACATTGTAAACAAACTAACAAACATAAACATACATAAACAAGAAAAACCAAAGATTATACAATTGAGATGATGAATCAACATTTTTAGCTAATAGGTTTTTTTAGTAAGAATCCTCTTTTTCCCATCATCAACACACACTTGAACAAAATGTTTGAATTAAGAATTTTCTTTTCAAATCTATAGATTTTGTGTATTTCTATTTTTACTTTTTCTCAAATTTATTTTTGTAAATTAAAATAAAAGATTTTCTAAATTAAAAATATTATTTTTTTCCAATTTTTATTTTGTGTTATGAAATTTTGATGTAACACACACACACACAAAAAACGAGGAAAAAAAACATTGCAACCAAAATTTCTTGTTTAGCTGGAAATAATGATGATTATAGATGTTGATGATGATCACTTAATCATCATCATCATCATCAATAATTATCATTAGATTTGGTTAAACTACGTCGTAACGTAATCGGGTTTTTTCTCCTTCTTTCTAAATGGACATCATTGGTAACCTTGATGATAATGATGATGATGATGATATGAATAATAATTTAAGCAATAATCAAATTATCAACGATGACCATTTCAATTTCAATAAATTGGCCAACAAAATGAAGGGTAAGTATAGCTTGAAGAAAACATTAGACTAATGGACGTCATCCGTTTTGAATTTGTTTCGTTTTGTTTTGCATTTAATATTCGTTTGCATCAATGTTGTCAATCATTTTTCAATTGAATATTGGCCGAATCCGAAGGATGATAATTTTTGTTTGTTTTTTGTTTCACTAATTCATTGAGCCAGATATTGAATTTATTAGATAAATATTTTTTTTCTACCCACACTTTATTTTGGAATAATATTTTTTTTTTTTTGTTGAAAACTGTTTGTATCAATCAATCAATGACCATGATTATAATGATGATAACCACAATGAGGATTGTCACAATTATAACCATTTTAATTATAAATGTTTGTTATGGTATGTGTTATTAATATAAAATAAAAATAAAAATACTAATTATCATTATCATTTATCGTTGTTCTACCACAAAAAAAACAAAAATCAACAGGTGCATCAATTGGAAAGGATACATCATCATCATCCTCATCGTCATTATCAATAATCGATGGAATCGAAAAAGAAGATTTATCATTGATCAAACAAGTAGGTTTAGATCGAAAATTATCCACTGTAACCAATAGGCAAAAAATTCCTGATGATGATGATGATGATGATTTGGATAAAATTGAAAATCTTAAAGGTAAATTGAATGGTTCGTTAGTATCAAAAACAACAAATATTGATTCGGGTTATGATAGCGATAACGATGATCGTATCGATCGTATAGAGGAAAAAATTGAACGACAAAAAACACGTAAAACACATGAAGAACGACGTGCTGAACGTCGTGAACGACGAAAACAACGTAAAGAAAGTCGTAAAGAACGTCGTAATGAACGTAAAAATGAACGTCGTGAACGAAGACAAGCACGTTCAAATATACGTTATTTAGAATTGATTGGTCATCATATTGATCGTGCACATAATAATGCTGATAAAGAATCAACAAAAAAAATGTGGTCAAATCTTGGTAAAATGATTGATTCATTGAAAAAATTAATGGAACGACGACAACAACAAACTGACAATCACAATACTCCTGAACAAGATAATGATCAACAACAATTAGACAAACAAGTTGATGAAGAAATAAGAAAATTTCATACAAATTTTAATGATGAATTTCATGTTAATGATCGTTCGAATCAGGTTTAAAAAATTTATTTTGATATTTTTTTATTATTTAAAAAAAAGTAATAAAATCATGTAATTTTCATTTTATCATCAGTTTTATCATTCATTTGATTAAAAGATTTAGCTGAAATTGTTGATAATTCTGTTATTGATGATGATGAACGATTTGAATTTGGATTCATTATTGTTATTTGATTTGAATCCATTGAATTAATGATTGATTGTGATTTTGGAATCAATATTTTACCACCATTACCAATAATCATTTGTTTTTCATGAAGAATTTCTTTCATCATCGATAATAATTCATAACCATTGATTGGATCAATATTTTTTAATAATAAATTCAATGTAAACCATTGATCTTTGTTTAAATGTTGTATAATAAAATCAATATCATAATGATTAATACAATCATTAAAATCACTAATCTGTTTTTCAATACGTTTTGTACGAAGTTGATTAAGAAAATAAATTGCCATACGATATATTAATGATAATCCAGTAATTATTGTTAATAAATAAAGCCAAAACCAAATACAAATATAAATTTTTTCATTTAAAATATTAATAGATAATATACATAATGTATCATGTTTTTCAAGTGTACCGGATGCACCGAACATACGAAATGTACATTTTGTAACACGTGGAAATACACGTATCATTGGATTAATCATACCATCATTATAATTCATTAAAAAATGATAAACATCAGGACCATATTGATGAAAATAACCACCCAAAAATTTATTTATCAAACGTATTTGAATAATAATATTAGCGAATTGTAAAATTTCAACCAATATAAACCAATTTAAATAACAATGATTAGATTGTTTACGATTATCAATAAAATAATTGGCCAATATTTTTAGCTGTTTATTTCGTTCATATTCTTTATCGAATAGAATTTTATCTAAATCCATTTTTAATTTACCAATACGACCAGATTCTTTACGTTTCCATAATGAATGTGGTAAATAAAATGTTAATCCTTGTATGAATAATAATATACCAACCCATTGATAATAAGCATGATAAACAACTTGTTTATCATCTAAATTATTATCAATACCAGGATATGGTATTTCAATACCGATTGTTTTATTCCATGATGTTATTATACTGAATGTTGATTGTATCCAACAATATGTATTAATAAATTTTTCCGAATATGGTTTGGTTTCTTTATTCGTAATACATTCGATTGGTGTACCAAAAAATTGATTCAATGAAACCAATGTACAACATGCAATAAATAACATTGTTGTCCAACGATAATGCATTTTATGTATAATATTATCGATTATTACTTTGGATGGTTGAAAAAATTTTTTCAATTCACCAAATGTTTCCAATAAGACCATGGTTGATTTGATTGATTTTTTTTAATTATAAAATCGAAAGAAAATTTTAACACAGAAACAATATGACAATGTAAAAATAATGGCAGATAAATATTAGATTCTTCAAGATTAAAATATTATTATTTTTAAATAAAAATCGGATATTGCAATCATTTTATGATTATCCACAAATCCACTACCACTAGTATCAAGTGTTACTGCTAAGAAAAATTATTATTATGCATTATCCACACCCATATATAATAATTCCAAATAACTAAATACAAACAAACATCCAATATTGTTATTATCCAATATTGTGGTTGTCATCGTAAATAAATAAGATAAGAAACCATATTTGTTAATCCGATAAAATAACAACAAACATTGATGACCAAAAAAAGTATACTTTGTAAATAATAATGATAAAAACGTTCATTCACAACGGAAATTCAATGATAAAAAATAATAATAATAAATATTTCTGTCAATATTTTTGTTGTTGTCATGAGAATTTCTTCTAAAAACAACGATATTTTTATTGATGTTTTACTTTTTTTTTCCGTTGTCGTTCGATTATTTTTTTGTTGTTCTCAAAAGTTTCTGAAAATAAAAACTTTTGATTTTGTTAGAATTGACTCAGACAAATGACTATCATTATTGTTAAATGAATAATTATGAGATTATCATTAGTAGAAAAGGCAACGACAGCGAAAAAGTTGTTTCAAAAAATAAAAATGTAAAAAATTACGTCAAACGAAATGAAATAATCTTTTCTTTTTTTTGATGGCCACAGGATCAAGTGAGTAATGGAAAAGCAAAAGAGGGAAATCTTGAAAACAAAAAGAAGAAGAAGAATCGGTGGTATTGATTATTTGAGAAAACAAAAATGGCAGACAGAAAAATCAATGTTTTGTTTGCCATCATCATCATCATCATCAATTATCATGGAACGAATGGATTGAATGTTTTTTTTCAAGTTTCTCTTTTTGCTATAGAAACAACTTTGATTAGCAACACACACACCTTGCACACTTTTAATTTTTCTGAAATATTTGATGAATGAATGAATGGTTGGATCCAAGGCGATTCATTACCTGTTGTTGCTATTGTCATTTTCGCTTTTTTCTTTTAATTTCTCTTTCATTTTCAATTCAAATATTTATGAAGACGGTGATAAAACGAATGGTTAGTGAAAATAAAAATAAAAATGGACAATGATAACAACTTAAACAGCGAAGAAGAAGAAGAAGAAAAAAAAATGGAAGCTACAAAAAAAAAGAAAAATTTAATGATAATCGCCACTACCACCATCCAATAATTTGAAAGATAGATCGATTTGATGAGAGAAATTTTGTAAGATGTTTTTTTTTGTTCACTGTTTTGATCAAGTGTATGGTTGGAACAAACAAATGTACATTTATTTACATTATTATTCTAGAAATGTTAAGTTGGTGTGGTCAATTCTGATTTAGCAGATAAATAATAATAATAATCAAAATTCAAAATTAAGCAATCTGAAAAAAAACTAAAACAAAAAGAAATATAACTTGCATCATTTGAATCCTTATCACATCATTGTATGATATAATCGATTCAATCAAGTGATAAAATGATGATGAGAAAAAATTTGCATCAATTATCACCGGTAATGATAATTTTATCATTATCATTTTTATGTTTGATTATTTCCACCTGTTTGGGTATGTTTGTTTGTTTGTTTTTTGCTGTTTTGTTTGTTCAAATTTTTTCCTTTTTTTTCATTATTTTGATTGAATAATAATAGGCCAAGAACAAACAACAATAACAAATGAACCATCAAATGTAACTGAATCATCATCATTACCAAGTGAAGCAACTACACCAATATCGATTCAGGATGATGTTTCGACTGTTGGTACCGATAATACATCAGAACAATCAGTTAATGCTGATAGTAATGATGGTACTGATAGAGCAAATAATCAAAGTGATGATGAGAGTTCCGATAATCAACAACAGCCTAAAGTATTCATAATTCATCATCATTATAATGGTCCACCACCGTATTCAGATTTTATGAATCGATTACAACCGGTTCCATCACCATCTGATCAACAATCATCATCACCATCAATACCAAATCAAAATAATTTCAATAATTTACCACCAGAATTTCAAGATCCAAATTATCCATTCGGTTCACAAATACAAAGTCGATCACAGAATTTTCCACAACAACCACAATCAGAAGAATCACAACCAAATGCAAATGATGAAGATCTTGGCCGTTTTGATCCACTCGGTCAATTTAGTGATCAGCAGAAAAAACGACAATTTTTTCAAGATTTACTTCATAATCAATTGAGTAAATTTGAATCAGAAATTGAACCAATGATTGAAAAAGAAGATAATATGACCGAAAAGAATGATATGGAAGATTTATTAGCCAGTGTTCGTGATCTAAAACGTTCCGTTGAAAATCATCAAATATTCAATATTACAGAATTGATGGATGATTGGAAAGAGGGTCGAATACAACCACCATCGATGCAATCATCAAACCAAAAGCCGAAAAATCAACAACAACAACAACAATCATCATCACCGATGCCACATTTTATGCATAATTATCATCCAAAACAATTTCGACAACAATGGCCATCATCATCGTCATCATATTCATCGGCTATTGATATACCACAGATACCTGCAAGTCATTCAGAAATGACATTGAATATACGACCACCAAAAACACGAACATTATTACTGGTACCACAATCTCGTCTTATTCAGCCAGAATTTGCACCACAATTTCACCCAGGTGGTAATGGCTTTCAATCGGGTTTTTATCCACCGCATTTGCAAGCTCCACGTGGTTTTTATTCAGTACAGCAACAGCAACATCCACAATCAACAGATATGCAACCAATGATGTTTCAAAGACGATCGTCAATGATACCACAATTCAATAGATATCCAATGAAATCCGGTGTTCAATATACTTTGGGACGTTCAGCCGATAGTGATGCTGAAAATGCTCATCCCATTAATGTATCACCAACAACGGATAAAGCCAATGACAATGATTCGAATGATAATCAACGATCATCATCATTAGAAAATGCTTCCGCATCACCTTCATCAAATGCCTATGGTCCCGAAATTGAATATCAAAAATGATAATTGAATCAATATCTGTCACAAACAAACCAAACAAATACAAATGCACACATTCAATTTCAATGACAATAATATTGTCTTCAACCAATCACTGTCATTTCCTATGTCAATAATCAAATTTTTTCTTTTTTGTTGTTGTTATCTCTTCACAAATTGTCATCAACAAATAACAATCGAAGAGGAAGAAAACTTTTAAAATGTCAACACAAACAATGAAACAAACAAACAAACACTTTAACACACACACAATAATTTCATTGAAATTTTTCAGAAAAAAAAAATCAAATTGGAAATTTTTTGTAGAAAAAAAATCATGATGAATACATTTGATATAGGTGACATTTTATATGATTGATTATCATTAATGGTCATTATCATTGTCATATTTTGTTGATCATGATATTATTGAAAGAGAAAGAATAAAATCTAAATTGTATTGGTTAAAAATTTTCAACAAAATCAAAATAAAGAACGGAAATTCGAATTCAAATATGAAAAATATGATTAACATCGAACGATTATCGATTAATCGATTGTTTGCGAATGCAATTTATTCATTTAATCTCATTTAATCGATCATTGAATCAAGGCTAATCTTTATTTTTAATCGTTTGGTTGCAATCCAATCAAAGTATTTTTTTTCATTTTAAAAATTTAATGTTTGTTGTCATACCGGACATTCCTGATGCATGGATTAAGCATCTTTAATTATCATCATCATCATAATCATCATCATCATCATCATAAAATGTGTGATGGTATTAAACTTGATCCATCATCATAATAAATAAACAGTTACATGGATTGATTCTAGCAACAAAGTTATTTATTTCCATTTTTTTTTCTACATACCAATGGAATGCCAATCAATCAATTGATTGATCGATCGATACGTTGACATTCACATTGAACCTCAATCATTAGGAATGAAACAACATCGACATTATGAATACAAAATATCATCGAAATGGCCATCAACAACAACAACAACAACAACAAAAACAGCGTAAAATCGATGAAGATGAAGATGACTATTATTATTACATTGATAATGATAGACCAAGAAATTTTCGGCCACCATCATTATCTATTATAACATTAACTTCGGAAACATCGGTAAAATAAAAGAAAAAAGATTTTGTTTAATTTTGTTTGCTAATTTTTAACTTAATGTTTTTCACATTTTCTTTTATGATAAGAAATTATTCTTACAATCATCACAACGAAGACGATCACATCTTTCGAATATATCGGCCATTGATATTGAAGAAGTACCGGAAGAAGAAGAAGAAGAAGAAAATGAAGAAACTAAAGTCGAACAAAAAGAAAATGATGATAATGATCATTTGGAATCTAAAATACAAAATACAAAAACAGTAAATCGTTTTGAAAATTATCGCCCATCAATTAAACGAAATATAACAAAAAACGACAATGAATCTTCATCCTCGTCATCATCATCATCATCATCATCATCAATGGTACGGACAAAAAAGAGTCCAATCGAACGTCGTTTATCCAGGAAATTTTCCGACTCTGATCTGAAAATTCGTTCCATTGTTTATGGCCAAAATGATCCGGATGATTCGAATAATGAAGATTATGAGGAACAAACGACATCAAAGAATAAGGAAATCATAATTCGACCCGAACATTTGAATAATGAAAATTATCAAGCGCCAAAACGTTTATTTGAACAAAGTCGAAATCCTCATCAAAAACAGCAGCAACCAAATGGTGGCAGTAAACTTGTTTTACATCGATTAAATCGTCTTCGACAAGTTGATGATTCTATATCAAATATTATCGGTAGGTATACTGAAATTTTTTTTTGAAAAACATAATTCAAAAATGTCATATTCGTAATATTATCAAGTTCCACAAGCAAAATCGATATTAAAATCACCAACAACCGATCATCCACCACAATTACATTCATCTAATAATCAATATGGTAGTGATATGGCATCGATTGGTGAATGTTCTATAGGTCTTTCGGGTGAACAATTACATCAACAAAATAGTGAACAATTGAAATTGAATGAACAACAAAATCAATTAATGTGTTCACGTTTAATTAAATTATTATCGATTATGTATGCATTATTTTTGGTTGTCATCGGTGCAATGATTACAATCGGTGATATGGACAAAGCAACCAATGATCAAGATCATCTATATTCAATATTGATTACTGCCATTGGCATAGCATTTCTTGTATTCATTCATGTGGATGTTCAACGTCATAAAAAATTCGTTTTGAATTGGCAACAACGCCGTAAAGAATTGATTGAATCACCATTGCTCAAATCGAATGATGATAATTTGGAATTAAATATTGATTCTAATGGTGAAAATGAAATTGTTAGTAAAGAATGTGATTCTGTATCCGTAACAACAGCCGTCATATTTAATCGTGTTTATCATATGAATAATGGCCATAATCAATTAGTTGATTTGGATGATCAAACACGCCAATCATTAAATGGTTATCGATTTTTAACTGGTAAACATTCTGGAAGTTTTTTTCTTAAAATAGGAATGACATGTAAGTTGATCATCATCGTTTAAAATCATTTCTAAATATGATTTTGTTTTGTTTTGTTAACACTATAGTATTCTGTATGGGTAGTATCATTCACCAGGGAATTAATCTATCATTTCAGATACATTATTTCAGTATAAATGCAAGTGATTGTCGTAATGGTATATCATTAGCTGTTTATCTTATACGATGTATATCGGCATTCTATCAACTTTATATTGCATTCAAATATTCCAATGTATGTTTGTTTGTGAATCTTTTTTGTTTATTTTTCAAATATTTGATATCCTTTCAATTAGTTGATCATCAACCGTAATCAATGGATAGTTCGTTTTGGCCTAATGCATCTTGTTGGATCATCATTATCATTTTGGGTATCGACCATTATTGAAGAAGCTGTACATGGTTATATGGAAAAAATTAAAGCAATGAATGAAGCTGATAATAAAACCTGCACACCAAATACAGTATTCTTACAAGATGCTTATAATCATTATATTCAATGTTTAAATAAAACATTAGCCGATTTTGAATCAATCGATGCATTACCATTACTTTATCCGTTTTCGGTTGAATTCAACATTATTCTTGCATCAGTATGGTATGTTGTTTGGACAAATATTGGTAATATTGATTCGAATTCAGAAATGCATACAGTGAATGAAGAATTGAATGAAGATCGTCACACTGGAAAAATTGATATCGTTTATCGTTCCAATGTAACTATCTCGGCTGATTGTCATGCATCAAATATAGGAATGTTTAGCGGATTTTTCTCTCTACTTGCCACATTGATAACGATAATCATATTTTTCACAACAATCAGACATGATACATATAAGACAATCGGTATCGCTATCTATACGGCTCAATTGACATTTTTAACTACTTGTTGTGCTATTACCGTACCTATGGCATTTCGACAAACTATTGGATTGAATGTAGCTAAACATTTAGATTCACCACAAACAGTAATGGATGATTTTCTACTGGTTATTCCATTACCATTCTATTATATTCATCATATACTTTGTATCTATTCGGAAATTTTACAATTTACATTGAACAGTGTATTTATGGCAATCTGTTATTTGTTAAATATTATACAGGTTACATTGCAAACACCATTTATAATTGATGGTATACGTCGTTGTTCAAATGAACGACGTTTACGTTATAAAAAACCCGGTAAACAATTGATCACATTTAACATAATTATTAATATTACCTTATGGATTCTAATAACATTCGAAATGAAATCTGTTGATAAATATCATTCAATGGGATCTAAATATGGAAAATTTGTCTGGATGATCATATTGGATACATGTTTACCATTAATGTTATTCTATCGATTTCATTGTTCAGTTTGTCTGGCTGATATGTGGAAAAATTGTTATGAAAAAGATGAACATTGATTTCAAATTTAAAAATTGCAAAAAAAATTATTTCATTGAGAATATTAACAAAAATAAAATATCACTACAAAATTTGATTATACAAACAACATTTTTTTCCATAATATATCAAAATTTTGAACTTTCATTTTCAACAATTGAATTATGATTTAAATCTAATGATTTTTTTGCATTAATATCTGATATGATAATCGATGATGTACGTGATAGATCAAGCATGATTGAAGATTTTTTATCTTTTTTGTCTAGTTGAAAAGAATCATTATTAGTAGTGATGAAACCATTATTTTGATAAGAAAATTCCATTCCATTTTTTTCATTTGTTTTTTCTATTTGTTTAAATTCTGATTCATCCTGATTAGAATCAGTCAATGATGATGATCGTCGAATATAATATGTTCCAGTATGATCACTTGTATTTGATAATGATGAAAGACTTTTTGTTATAGGAAATATACGGCTTGAAAGAACTTCAATTTGAAGAAGATTACGTATTGGTTGTTGTATCATTATATGCATATAATAGGCTAAAAAGAATGATATAACAGCATCGGATACAATTGAACGGAACTGTTTTTGAATTAATTAAATTAAAATTAATTAAAACAATAAAACAAATCAAATAATAAATTTTACCATAGTCTGTCCGGAAAGGATGATTGTCTGTCGTATTGAGAATAAACGATAACAGGTAACAACGATACTTGTTAAAAAGAATCCATAAGATAGTTTCGAAATTGGACGAAATGCAATAGATGATAGAAATCGATTGACGATTGCTAAAAATTGAATGATAATTGATAAGCTTTTTTTCATATATCAAAAACTTACTGATATGTCCAGTGATACAGGAATAAATGATCCATGCATGTAAACCGACCAACATTGGCCGACCTAATGTTAACATCATTGTCAATCTAAATGTAGTTAGATTTGGATTCATTAGATTCATATTTTCAATGAAGAAAAAACAAGTAAAAAATGCAATTAAAGCTAAACATCCTGTAATTGCATTACGCATCGATCTATTTCGATTATTGCCTGACGTTATTTTAGCCGAAATAGATGGTTGTGTAATAATAAGATGACCAACCCATAAACCAATGATCAATGGCTGTAGATGTGGAAATGGATTAAATAGATAAAACATGACCGATTGTTTGATTTCCATGAATGATTTCATTTTTCGATGTTCATATGGTACTTTGAAATTGAAATAAAATCGATAAATAACATTTCCAATTGTTGCCATTATCAATAAACAACCATGAAAAATGTTACCACTACGTGGATTAAGATATGAATTAATTAATAAAATAACTGGTGCCAATAATTTTAGCTGAAAAATCATCGAAACAAATACTGTCGGCAAATTGCACTAAAGTAAGACAATGAAAATTTTTTAAAAAAATAATTTCATTTATAATTAGAAAAGAATTTACCATATCTTCAATATTATTCTGAAAATTATTGGTGAAAAATAATGCTGACCAAATATTATCTTTACATGGTTGTGTCATTGTTTGATCGAACAGATGCCATAATGGTCCAGAGCCAAATAATGGAACTACATAGATCATTCCTATCGATACAATTATCGGTAATGTATAACGGATATAATTTCGAATCAGATAATGTACATAGATGAATGATTTTGGTTTAAACGATATGGCCAATGCAATTCCACTATTTCGGATAAGCAAATAAATTATTATCAGATTTTTAAGTAGAAAAAAAAACATTACTATAAAGCAAATACCTGAAAACAACGAAAACATCGATAAGATAATACATACGAATGAAAAAATATTTCTTTTCCGATATGAATTGAAATGGTCCCTGTACATAGAAACGTTTGATGATCATCGGTGCGAATAACATTGTATAATAATAAACATTTGTAATGAAAAAGAAAATGATCAATAAAAGACGCATCGTATCCAATTGAGGATAACGATTTGGACCTGGATTATCGAATAAATGTCGAGTATTTCGTATGATTGAAAATGATGTTAACACCTGTACGATTGCCGGTTTATCAAAATATAATTTCGATACACGTGATTCATGTGAAATTGTACGTTGATCAAATGTAGATTGTTGATGACCATAAGGATGATGATGATGATGAACAGCAAATACTGATTCCGAATGAGGAATTGTATGCCGATTTTCAAATAAATGTCTATAAATTATCTCATAAGCTGTGCTCATTATGACCAATAACAGCAATAATATGAACAATGATCTATTTGAAATAAATTGAAAATATTTTTTCATCAGAAAAGATTTCAACAACAAAAAAAATTATATAAAAAGCTTACATAAATATTATCTGATAAAGATTCAATGGTGGATCATCTGTTGCTTTTACACATTCGGGTCCAACCTGAACGCTCATTCCAGTTTTTCGTACCAGAACTTTATGAAAAAAAAAGAAATAAATTATCATGATGATGTTAACAAAATAAAAATAACTTACTTCGATTGATTGCATTTTCAACACTTTGTCGTTCACATTTATGTGGTAAACAAAGTCCAACACGTAAAAATGTACGTTGCATAAATTTATAAAGACCCATATATGTATCGATATATTCATCATTTAGAAATTTTCTTACACGTGGCATACGTGTTTCAGCTATTGGTTCATCTTGATTAAAATTTTCTGGTAATGGTACAACCGGTTTTAGAAGACAATATTGTCCATAAATAATATTTGGATTTTCTGTTGGATCGGATTCAATTTCTAAACATTGATCAAATTCACCCAATGAAACAAACATTCCTTGTTGAAAACCACCGACCAATATAGAGCCAGATGCATCTAAAACTATTAATTGATTGATTTTTTTTCAAATTAAAGATTAGAAAAAAACAAACAGACAAACAAACAAAACAAACATACAATTCATTGCCCATGTTTCTCGTTGATTAATGGCACGAAATACACGAAATAATGCACCCATACAATCAGAATCTAATTGTGATTCATAAAGATAATCAGACATACGTGATACCATTTCACGTAGAAATGGATTCAATCGTTCCAACATTTTATTCGTAAATGTATACATTCTTTTTGTTTTGAAAAGTGAATGAATAATCAACTTCATTAACACAAATCGTATTGAGATACCTTACCTATTCAAACGTTCAATTGTTTCATTAATATGTTTTACATCTTTACTTATTTCATGTGGATAATCATCGGGTATGACACGATCGAAAAAATAGCTAGCCGTACAAATACTATTCGGATTAGATTCATATGATTCTTCATTATTATCATTATCATTATCGCCATCATCATCATCATCATCATCATAATCATCATCTTTTTCATTATTATTCTTTTTTAACCATTCTGGTTTTTCAATTCGCATAATTCTTTTACTAAAATCGATTGTATCATCGATACTTGGATCGATAGTACCGTGACCATCAAGTTTACGTTTACGTAATACTGATATCGGAACTGATTCTGTCGTCGTCGTTGTCATTGTTTCATCAATCATTGTTGTAGATACTTCTTTTTCTTCTTTGTCAAACATCATCAAAGATTTGGCATTTGTCGTTGTTTCAATATCAATTTCTATTTTGAATTGAATAAAAAATTGTGAAAAAAAAAATGTCATCAGTCAAAAAATGGACAATGAAATAAATTGGTTAAATGTTTATGATAAAAATCTATATATAGTAATATAAATAGATTTTCATCGAAAATTGCGCCATTTTTTTTTCTCGAATGATGAAAAAAGTATGAAAATTTCAAAAACAACATTGACAACATTATGATGTAATCGCTTGTATGAGACAAATCATATGAGAAAGGAGATCTTTTGTATACCACTTACCATCATTGTCTTCGGATGATAATGATGGTGATGTTGAATGATTGTTGTCGCTATTAATGTGAGAATTTTCCCCGCTATCTTTATCATCATCAACATGATGAATATCAATCGACAAAGTACTTGTTTCTAGATCGATTTTTGATTGATTCGATCGAACCGTTTGTGTTGATATAGTAGAATCATTGTTTTCAGCAATCATTTTAGTCGTCGTTGTTGTTGTTGTTGAATTATCATCGATAACATTTGATCGATTCGATTGATTTTCAGTATCATTATTTAATATTATTGAATTCAATGGTGATGAGGTTAATAATGTAGAGAAAATTAAATTCGTATCATTTTGTTGTTGTTGCTGTTGTTGTTGTAACGTTAATAATGGCTGTGACACTTGTTGCTTTTGAATCAATGTCGATGTCAACGGAATGAGAGCAAATAATAATAATAAAAAAATAGATGATATTGATGATGGTGAGAATGTCAATATAGTTGATATCATTGATGAATATTTAAAATGATGATTGTCCGAAATTGATTTCGAACAAACTGATGATGATGATGATGATGATGATGATGAGTTTGATTTGGATTTTATCCAATGATGTTGATGATGATGATTGTTGAAGGATTGTTTCCAATTATTCACAATACTCGTTAACCTTGACATTTTTTTCACATCAATAAATTCGGCGACATTTAAAATTGTTGATCTAGTTGTTGTTGTTTGATTATTATTATCATTATTTTTATTATTATTGTTGTTGTTTTTGTTTTTACTGTTGTCAACATTATTATCATTAATTTCACAATGATTATGATTCAAATTATTAGTCAGATTATTATTATATCGATTGAATCGATATCTATTTACTTTGTCGACACAATACTGTCGAAATAGAATCGAATCCATTTCGATCATCATCATCAATGTTGATTTTTTTCTAAAATTAAAATATTTTAAAAAAAATGATCATAATTGAATGAACGAAAAAAACTTGTTGATTAAAATGAAATAATTTCAGGTTGAATTTTTTATTTATTGAATATTCAATCTACAATTCGACAAACAAAAGAACAAAAATAAAATAAAAAAATTTCAATCCATTAATAGAATGTTTTCATGAAGTAAACAAAACGTAAAACTAAATCAAACAGGTATTTCCATATCAATAATGATGAATTTTTTTCAAATATTTTCTTTTCTTTTCTTTTTCAAAAAAAAAACAGAACGTTATATTGATTTGATTTTTTTTTCTAAATATTTGTTTTGCTATTTATATACACACACAGGTATGTATTTTGTGAATTTATTCATACTTTTTATAAATTTCTTCTTCTTCTTCTTACATTCATTTTAGATTATTACAACAACATCTTTATAACTATGTTGCCAAAGATGATGATGAGAAAAATAAAAGAGAGAAAGAGAACCTTGAACACAAACAAGAAAAAAAAATAGTTATTGAATCAAACACATCAAGCTATCTGATATATGATAATAATAATTCAACAAGTGTCGAAAATTTTTCATTCGAAAATCAACATCATCATCAATCCATTTGGAAATCTATTTACAAAAAAAAAACTAACTGAACAAAAACAACAACAACAACAACAACATTTATCATTCAAGAGTTTTATTATTTTAATTATGATAATAATTTACATCTATGTTTTCTATCTGTGTATTACAGAAAACACTCCATCGTTGTCGATGTTATCGATGTTTCAACAACAACGAATATTCACAAATATATTACGAATGTTATAATAATTATAAAAATTATGTTACAAAAAAAAAATTAACCGGAACAAATACAAAAAAAGAATGTTTATTTTTTTCCCCTTCTGATATCAAATTATAATGATAGTTGGAAAAGAGATTGGGGTTAGGAAACAAAAAACATTCACGCCTATCAATTTTGTTATTATCATACGATTCTTTTAGGTGAGAAATTTCCAGAATAATTGTGTGTTTGACAAGACTTTTTTTAATGTTCGTAATATCATCATAATCCTGGGAAAAATGACTGTATTTTTAGCCAAGATGATGGTCGTTAATAATTTTTTTCAAAAAAAAATGATTTATCAAATGGATTGATGATATGACATTGAAAGACAACAATTATTCACAAATTTCAAAAATGCAATGATTTTCATCATTATCATTATCATCATCATCATCATCATAGTTGAATAATTAACGACTATTGAATGACCACATATTTTTCTTTGGAAACAAAAAAAAAAAATCAATCATCTGATGTTGATAATTTCAAAGAAATGAAATGAAGCAAACACTGCATTTGATTACTTATTTGATAATGACATTCTTTAACATTCGGATTCGAAAAGCTAAAATCATTAATGTTTAATGTATAATTGAAAATGTATAGTATCAGATTACAAAAACATTCAGTGAAAAAAAAATTGTTTCTTTTTTTTAAGATTTTTCATTACTTTCTATCTTTTTTTTTTTTGCTTTTTACAAAAATTCTGTTTCAATGAATGTTTTTTATTTTTTGGAAATTTCTGGTTTTTTTTCTTCGTTGTTGTTGTCGTCGTCGATTTCGTTGCTGTTGGAATTCATTATCTTCATCCATCTATGATGATTGATCATTTCATTTCAAAATGATTACACTTAGTTTTGATGCGAAAAAACAAAAACAAAAAACATTGAATTATGTATCGATTTTTTATGATGATGATGATAATAATCTATATTTAGATTCGGTTGATAAATAAATAAACAAACTTGATAAACAACAAACAGTAAATGCATGAATGAATTTTGTTGTTGTTGTTTTGTTGTTGATTTCATCTGATTAATTAACTTAACTTAATCAAATTGGAATTTAAATTTGGTGGATAATTAAACGAACAAAAACAAAACAAAACAAAGCAAACCCACATAACCAGAACACATTTTACATATTACACATAGAAGATTACATAACTTTTGCAAATAAATAAATAAACAAACAAACAATTTTGATTTTGAAAATCCAAAAAATCCAAGTTCAATGTCAATTGGAAATTTTGATTATCATTTTTTTGTTTTGTTTCGTTTCGTTTCGTTTCATTCGTTTATGTTAATCACACTAAAATCATTTCTGCTAAAAATGTCCCGTTAAAAAAAAGAAAGAAAACTAAATGGCCCTAAGATCTATTCATCCATCTCTATATCTCTATTTTCATTTTTTTTTTGTTCCCAAAAAACAAGTGATCAAATCGAAACTATAGTTGGGGAAAAAAAATCCAATTTTAAATTTTTTCATTATTAGCAGAAAAAAAATTGATGAAATTTTTTTCCTTTCCAAATAGAGCTACTGTTTTTTTTTTGTTGTTGTTGATTTGCAGCAATGAAAAGTCGAAAGAGAATGGATCATATTGAGATTTGAGAGAAAGTTGAAGAATTGAAAATGTGTGAAAAAGAGAAAATGAAACAAGAACAGATTTTTGCTGTTGTTGTTGGAGAAAAAGAGTCGAATAATTTTCATTGCCAATGTTTTATGTTTGTTTATCACATTTTTTTTCAAAAAAAATTTCAAATTTTTCAACAAAAAATTTCAATGTGAATTTGGAACACATTTGTCAAATCAGGATCCTATTCATTCATTCAATGCAATGTGTGATGGCAATGAAAACTCTTTTTTTTTTGCATTTCACAAAATTTCAATTCAAAGTTTTTTTTGTTGTTGTTTTGTTTGATTGAAAAAAAAAGATTTTTCATTTTAAATGATTTCAATTATTTAAATGATAAATCACGATGAATTATCAATTGTCATTTATCAAGTGCAAACCGACCAAATATATCATGATAAAATAATAATGATGATCATCATCATCATTGTTATATCATCACCAATCATTATCATGACATTTTCAAAATACAAAAAGAGATAAAGAGAAAATATCAAAGCTTCTGCAATAACAATAGAAATTTAAAGAAAATCACAAGATATTGTCATAAACATCAGTTTGTTTGTTTGTTTTTGTTTTCGGTTTCAGTAGACATAATTCATTTGAATCCATCATAGGATATATTTTGTTGATCAATTTTATCCAAGTTTGATCGGATGATTAATTAATTTTCAGGTATCGATTTCAAGTTGATATTTTTGTTGTTGTTTTGTTTTGATATTTTTTTCTTTGGTGATAATGATTGATCATCATGTTTATGTTGATTGTTTGTTTGTTTTGAATGATCGATCGATGGATTATTCAATTCGATTGTAATATTTTTTTTTAGTGATGAAATTGTAATAAGATAATCCGATTCTTGAATGGAAATACTTATTTTTTTAACCAGAAAATTTTTTATTGCGTTTGCTTTTTTTTGGGGAAATTCCATGAAATGTAACCCATTCGAAAATAATCATCAATCATTTTAGCATTGAAAACAAAAAAAAATGTCAGGATTCGAACAAATAGGTTCAAATATCGATTGTATCGATATCGAAAAAAATTTTATTTCCCAATTTTTTTTTGGATCATCATTTCGAAAAGGTCAAAACAAAAAGTTTCATCAACTGATAACATGGCATTGAATTTATATAGACAAAAACATAATGAAAATGAAAACGTTTTATTTATCAATGACCAAAAAAAAATTTGAATTTAACAGATCAAAAAATGCGAAAAATATCAATGATTATGATGATGGTGATGATGATGAAAAGTATTTGTTTGTGTACAATCACGATCACCACAATTGGCTGTAAATAAATTTACCTGTGGTAATGTTAATTTTAGATCCTGTATTTCAATTTTAATCATTTGATGTGATAATGATAACGATGTGTTGTGATTATTGATCGATGTTGATGACGATGATGATGCAACATGCTGTGTCGATTGATATTGTTGTCGACAATTTTCATCCATTTTTTTATCATGGTCATTTTGATTGAATTGAGAAAATTTTTTCCCATCCTTGATAATGATATCAACCGAAGAAATTTGGTTACGGTTATCGATTCGATCACCATTATCATTGCAATTTGATTTGTTGTTTGTCATTGTTGCAATCTATTGAAATTTTAAAATGAAAAACAAAAATCAATGAAAAGAAAAAATCAAATTTTTTTTGAAATCAATCAAACAAACATTGAAAACAATCATTGTAGTAAGATTATTGAATGGACGTTCAATTATTACATAGAATATGGCAGCCATTATTGATGTTTGTATAAAATCGATTAAAATGAATTCAAACTTTTTTTTTGTTGAAAGAAAAATCATACAATCAGATCGAATGAATATCAATAAATCAATTGAAAATACTTACCAAAAGTTTATCGGTCATTACATATGTATCACGTACGGTAAATAAACGATGTGATAATGATAGAAAATGTAACAAATAAATACCAAATGTTAAACGTGAAAGAAATTGAAATAAACGTATGGAGAAAATTTTTTCGATTATAACTTTTTTTCGATTATAAATCAGGATTAAACATCAAGAAATAAAAATTATTAGAAAATTTACTTACTTGCCTGTCCAATACAAAGTTCATAAAGCATCCATGCAATCGATAAACAACCGATTAATTTACCAATTGAAAACCATAATAATATTGATGTTCGTGATGGTGCTAAATTAATCGTATGTAATGTCATAAACCAATAAACTGATAATATTAAACCGATAATCGAAATAATCCATAATGTACGTTTTAGCCATAATTTTTCATCAATTTTTTTACGATTATTATTATTATTATTCATTTGAATTTGTCGTTGTATGATTAGAAAACCGATTAGAATACCAAGAAAAAAACTGATTAAATATTGATTAACACCCATATGATAGGCAACAAATGAATGTGTTAATTCTTCCAATGATGAAAATGATGGTCCATCCAAATAAGTACGTTGATCAAATAAATGATCAGGTAATATACTTGTATAACAACCTAATATAATCATAAAAATATTCAATATAATACCAAATCGTTGATAATGATATATAGCCAATATGAATATTGGTCCAATGATTTGTAATTGAAATAATGCCGATAAAAACCATGTTGGTGGATTACACTATATTTTTTTTAGTTATAAGAAAAATCAATTACTATTATTAAACATCGATTTTTTTTACTCAAATTTACCAATGCAAAACGTTGATCAAAATTAAATACATTTTGATTATCACGTATACGATAATTACTTAGATATAAAAAACTTGATAATAAACTCTCGGATTCTTTACAAGTATCGACCAACATTTTCATACCCATATTCCATAATGGACCATTACCAGTTAATGGTAATAACCAGAATAATAATATGATAAAAAACATTGGTATCGAATATTTAAGCCAAAGACGTACAGTGAATACAATATAATTAAAACGTCCACGATTAATTGCCAATTTCCGTAATAAACTATACGAAAGTAATAGGCCACTATTTGATTTTTTTTTGGGGGGGGGGTAAATTAAACAAATTAGTAACAAAAATTAGGTGAATAATAAAAAGATTATTATTACCTGATCAAAAACATTGTATCAATAATTAGAATATTACGGGCAAAAAAATAACGATTATAATCATATGCTTTAGTTATAACTGAATTTAATATTCGTTTGAATGACATAAATGCCATGAATGGTGGAAATAAAAACATATGATCAACACATACATTGATGACCAGAAAAAGCCGTACAACATCAATACATTTAAAATGATCAATAGTTTTATTACGATTTTCAAGTTTAGATTTTTTTCGATCATCATCATTATTATCATTTGTAATCATTGTTTGATGATCATCATCACGATGAAAATCAAACAATGCTTCAGTATTGGCTATGATTGAAAAACAAACAATCCATTCGTATAATCGTGATTTATTGAATTTTGAAAATAATTTCTGTATTAATGATTCGTTTGTTGTATCACAATAAACTAAACAACCAAAATGAAATCCAGTACATAAAACGTTTATAATGATAATTAACATTATTATTAATCTAAATATTTAAATATAAAATTTAATTATTTTTCATTGAAAAAACTAATCAATCAATCCAAAAAAAAACTTACATTGAATAAAATTCATAATTATCATAGGATTTTTTCGTATATGTTTGTAGATCATAACAATCTGGTTCCAATTCAACGGGAAGTTTAAATACCGGATAAAATACTAATATGAATGTTTAATGAAAAAAAAATGTTTAATATAAAAATCAATGGTTTGATGATTGTTTGTTTAAACTTACTTTCATTTATTAATAATTCAAATTCATTTGATTGACATGCAGTTGGAAAACAAACACCTAAACGTAACCATGTACCATGTTGATTATTTAATTTTTCAACTACTTTACGCATTGTTAGATAATTATCCAGATTATATAATTTTAAAAAATTAATAAAATATTCAAAATGATGTCGTTTATATAATGTTTCAATTGATGGATGATCATTATTATTAAATATAGGTGGATATGGAATAATAATTTTAGCCAAACAATAACGGCCATAAATTGTTTTGAATTCATCATTTTGATCATGATGTTCAATTTCTAAACATTCATCAAATTCACCAAAATGAGCGAATGAACCTTCAGCAATACCTGTTGGAAATTTTCCTAATGCATCCAAAACTAAATCATAATCATTAGTAATTAGTAATTTTTTCTCAGATCCAAAAAAACAACATTACATTTTAATGCCCAAATTTTACGATCAAATATACCGGTTGATACTTTTATCAATGACCATAAACATTCATTACTTATATTTGTATTCATAATAATATCGGCCAATATCATCATTTGTTGTTGATCAATTTCTAGATTGATAATTTTTTCCACCGTTTTCACTAAATGATCAACAATTTTCATTGTATCATTAAAATTATTTACATGTTTTATAATTGGTTGATTTTTATTTATTTCATAAAGATTATTTAGATAATGAAATACTTCGATTGAATGTGATTCATTACATTCACATATAGATGTATGATTATCATTATCATCATAATCATCATAATCATTATATGTTGTTTGATTATTTATTGCTGATGATGTTATCATGATAAAACCTATCATGATGAAAAATAACTGATAAATAATGAAATTGACCATCATTGTGGATGGCAGTTTTGTAAACATCAAAATTAAAAGAAAAACAAATTTTTTGAAAAGAAAAAATATTTCATTTTTAAAGGAAACAAAAATAATTTAAAAATTTTTTAAAAAAGATCATCGATTAAAATGAATATTAAAAAAAATCCGATAACATCGAATTAAAACGAATAAAAGGAAGAAAAATAAATGAATAATTAAAAAAAAATTTGGTTAAAATCGATAATGATGACACAGACGCAAGCAAAAAAGAAAAAGCCGGATAAGGAATGCAACAGGTATTTTTTTAAAATTCAAATTTTTTATTTTATTATTATCATCATCATAATAATATAGTAATATAAGCATGTCATATAAACAAATTTCCAATCAATATATATTTTATCATCATTATTTTTTTTTTAAATATTCAAACTGGATTATTTAAAATTCGATGTACCACTTTGGAAATATGTTCACAGATTATAGCATTTGAATTTCGATTCTGACAACGACGACACAAAATCTGTGGTATAGGATCATTTTCATTATCATTTGATAATTTCAATGGATTATTTTTCATTTGTTTCGATGTTGTTGTTGTTGTTGACGTTGTTATTGTTGATGATGATGATTGGGATCGTCTTGGTAATGGTAATGGCGGTGGTAATATTTGTGTATTTTGCTTTTGACCATCATCATCATTAAGATTATCATTATTAATCATTGATGATAATAGGATTGGATTTTCATTAACAGTTGATTCATTTTGAATATCTGGCAGTCGTATTGATGATAATGAAGATGTAACAATTGGATTATTAATAGTTATAGCGGAAGAATTGGTAGTGTTGTTTGCACTTAATCCTGTAGTTGATTTACGAATTAAATCGATGAAATCATCACGAACACGATTCCTCAATGTCAACCATACGGATTCATTTTTCCAATCACCTTTTTCCGTTAAAAGACGTGAAATTTTTTGTTCAAATTTTCGTAATAATCGACGATGATTTCGTTGATGTCGTCGTTGTTGACTTTTTGATTGTTTTAATGTTTGCTCATTCATGTTAACTATTGAATTTATTTGTTCCGTTTGATTCGAATGATGACCATTAATCTCATCAGATACTTTATCGGTATGATGTAACGTTTCTTCCAATTTCAATTTTTCATTATCATCATCATTATCATCATTATCATCATCATCATCATCAATGAAATCATCCGGTAGATCTACACATTCACCAACATTATCATCAAACAACTTTTCTGAAGGAATATCGAAAAGATTATTAAGATTACCCGATTGTATATCAACGAACAATTGTTCCCATGAATAATTTGAATTATCTGCATTCATAAGATGCTGAATAATTTCAACAGGTAAGGATTTTTCCTCATGATCAAACAAACAGGCTTCGAGCAATCGTTGTTTTTGTTGTCCAAAAGTAGATTCTTTATCGTTAGATAATTTTGATAGTAATTTTTTCAAAACATTCACGTGCTTATCAACACCATCATCCATTTGATTTTCGTCATTATCGATTATTTGTTTCTTTTCTTGAGATTTTCGTTTGGCAGCCAACACTGAAACAAAATTTAATTTTCAATCATTTATTTTGATTCTTTCATGGTTATTTCGTACCTTGTTCAATAACCATCGATTGAAGTATAAAATGAGCTGGATTATCCGGAACATACATATTATCATCATTATCATTATCATTGGATATTTTCTTTTTTGATTCTATTAAGCATTGAACAAAATTTTTTCTGGTGATTTGGTAATATTAAACAAATAAAAAACTTACTTTTTTTACGAGAACCTTTTTTACGATTTTTAATTTTATCTTTTGCTACCGTAGATTGTTGATTTTGATTAACCGTAGTTGTCGTTGTTGTTGCTGCTGTAGATGAAGACGATGATGATGATGATGATGGTATTGATATTGGTGGTGGTGGTGGTGGTTGTACCGGCGGTGGTGTATGACAATCATTCATATGTAAATTCAATTCAAGCATTGTTTCAAATCGTACAGGTTCGACACATAATTGACATTCAATACTTTTATCTTTACGAATTTTTAAACTCTTTGCTAATGCTATTTCTGGACGTAATTTTTTTCGATTACGATTATTATCATCGAAAACATTTGTTGTGGCCATTGCTTCGATTACATATTTATAATACATTTGAAAAACAAAATCATCAAGTAATTCACGATTAGCAGATAAGTCTGACGATGATGATGACAGATTTTTAGCCGATTTTATTGAACATTTAATTCGATTTGTTCGTAATTCATTCGAATCATTCAATAATAATGATGATGATGATGATGATTGTTGTATATCATTACGATTATTACCATTTGCCATTGTTGAATAAATGAATGAACAACAATCTTTTAAAACATCAGTGTTCATTGTTTCCAATGTAAATGTTTTTGAATCTTCAATTAAATGATCGATAAATTCAAATCGTAGCTGTTCATCTTTATCCAATTCGGCTAATATAGATTTTGTTTTCATTATCTGATTACATTCAATCATTTTGATTGAAAAATTTGGTAATATTTCCGAATGATTACGAAATTTTAAATATTCCTCTTTGTTTTGATTAATAAAGTGATAAAAAAACAAAACATAAAATTAATAAAAATTTAGAATTCAATTTATTTGATTCAAACATACCAATTAAACATTCCATTTCAACATATTCTTTTGTTAATAAATGTTCAATACAAAGATCCAATTCATGACGATATGATTCAATTAATTGTTGATCATAACCAGAATGTTCAACCAATAATGTTTCACGAATATCACGAAAAAATTGTCGTAACAAATATAGATCAAGATAGATTCTTAAACAAAATTGTAAAACTTTATATGCATGTTTACGTGAACGAGCTGCTAAATTATTCATAATAATTTGTTTACGAATTTTTCGCCTATTGATTCGTTCTTCATTTTCATTATCATCATTTTCATTTTCATCATCCAATTGTCCGGATGATGATGTTAATACTAATGATTCGTCGATTAATTCATTATCGTCATCTTCATCATCGTCATCAACGACATCATTATCATTATCATCGATAATACCTTGATCCACACCATCATCTTCATCTTCATCATCATCAACCATTACAAGCCATTCTTGAAAACGTTCAACAATCATTGATTGTCGTTGTCGAATAGATTCTAATGAATCATTTGTTATTGTCGATGATGATGATGATGATGATATTAATAACGGATCGGATAACATTGGTTCCAAATGTTGTTCATATAATTCATAGAATTGAATTAGATCTGAATGTAATTCAAATGTTAACATTGATAAACGTTCGACTAATGATAAATTATATTTATAATTATTATTATCATTATCATTATTGACAACAATATTGTTATCAACATCATCATTATTATGATTCTGATGTTCATCATCATCAATCATTTTATGATTAATATTATAAGTTGCCATTGACATTATATCATTATCATCAGTATTGATTTTATTATTTCCATGATTATTTAAATTTTTCGGTTGTTTTCGTTGTTGTTCATTCGATGAATGTATGTCATTCATAGATTTATTGTTATCATTTTTTACAATTATTTCTTGTTTCACCGTTGATTTGGTTGATGATTTTGTTTTGTTTCGTCGTTTTCGACGATTATTATGATGATTTTTTCCATTATTTCCATTCATAATTGTTATCATTGTTTATTTTTTTTCAATCAGATTCATAAAATCATAATTATTCTTTAATCAATCAATTGATTTGAATATTGATGATGATGACGATGATAAACAACAAGTAATGAATTTTATCGATTAGTTTAATGTTGTCAATGATTTTAGAAAAAAATTCTTATAAAAACAAACAAATCGAGTTGAAAGAATTTTTTATAGAATCACATAATATTTTTTACCAATAACATTAGAAAAACATAAACGAATGCGTGATGATGATAATAAATGATGGTGATAATGACCATATCAACAGCACCAAAAAAAAACAACAACAGAAAAAAATTATAAAAATACCGGATATTTTCGATTTATTCTTTTAATAAAAAAAGAAATTTTGCATATTAAACAGAGGATATTCAATTCAATTGTAGAGCATAAATATCATTTGGATCATTTTTCATAATAAATGAGAAAATAGACTGTATCTTTAATTTTTTTAATATCCGAGTAGTAGTGGAATTGTATACAAGGAGAATACAAATCAGAATCCATATATGTACCACTACTATTCGAACACAAACACACATTGATGATGCGGCATCCTAGATTCTGTGTTGCCATCTTTTATCAAAGATTTAAATTTGATTTAAAAAAAAAAGAATTTTCTTCAAATTTTGGATCAAATAAGTTTATTATTGTTTATTGTAATATTATTTTTGTTATAAAATGATTTGTTTTCATTTATCAATTTTTTTTAAAATCATTTTTTTCGCATTTTTGCCAAATATAATGATATTGAACGTATTCTTGCGTTAAGCATTGCCATATGCATTGGATCAATACTTTCTGTTTTTGAAATTTCTGATTGTGATGAACTTTTTTCATCCATAATGTCTGATTGATTATCTTTTGTAAATTTACTTTTACCATAGTTTGATGATGATTGTTCATTTGATGGTGATAATGATGATGATTGAGATTCTTGAATAATCGTATGTTTATTACAATGACGACGACCACGACGACGACTAGAACGAGGACGAAAACGACAACAAATCAAATGCTGATAGCATATTATTATTAAAATCATTATAACTACTATGATGGCCATTACAATCAATATAATCGGAATTATCTTTAAAGGAGGATTCCGAGTTGTAGAAGGCATCATTTATGAAAATGAACTTTTTTTTTGATTCAAGAAATTTACTAAAAATTCGTATGAATTTATTTTCGAAAAGAATTTTTGTTTCTTCGAAAAATTCATTTGTAAACAAAACAATTTTTAATTCAATTAATTTAATTTTATTTAATTTTATAATTATTTTGAATAATTATTTTTTTTCTTGATTTTTACCCATATCAATAGCTAATCGAATTAAATCAATCATCATTTCAATATCACCACGATTACTAATGCCGGTAGTTAATACTAAAGTTTTAATTTTATTAACAATCGATATCATTGGTGAATTGGCATTTGTTTCTCTTGCCTGACGAATTATTTCTTCAAGAATATCCATCAATACTACTTCGGTTTTATCGATTTCAATGTCGGCTATTTGTCGGGTAAGTTTGAGAAAAAAAATCAAATAAACAAATGAAAACTTTTCAAAACAAAAAAAATCATTTTTTACCTGAAACAATTAGGCCAACAGTCATGATGCATAACAGCAACAATAAAGCGTTGATGAATTTCATTATAATCTTTTGAAAAAAACCTTAAAAGACCTTAAACAACAACAAAAAATTATCGTTTCATCCAATCATACAATCTAAATCGATTTTTTCCGTTTCCATACATTTTATATGGGATAAAAAAATAGGAAAAAAAACCACTTGACAAAAATCAAGTACAAAACACTTGTTGTTGTTGTTGCTGCTGCTGGTTAATGAATTTCAATCAGAAAAATAGACAACAACAATATTCTTGAAAAAACTTTTCAATATTTATCTAATCAAATGACCTTTAAAAATAGATTGATTTTCAATCAATTAATCAAAGATAACAAACATAATTTTATATTTAGAAAAATTTATTTATTGTTCAATAAACAAACGAACAAAAACAAAGAACAAAATCTGTTTTGTAATCAATTTTCATCTTTTTTTCTTGATTATCAAAGGATAATGGAAAGAATTTTTGATTATTCAATATGTTTTGGACAAATATCAACAACGGTACGAATCATTACTAGAATATTTTCCATTGCACGAATTGAATGACCAAGATGTGCATCACGTACATTCAATTGAATTTGTGATAAAAGATCGGATTCTTGTCTACATTTCATTGATCGCATACGTGATATCATTGTGTCTAATAATTTATCCAATATTATACGTTGTCGAAGTGAATTGTAATTGTTATCGTCATCATCATCATCGTCATCATCGTCATCATAATCATCATCTTTGACAATAATTGATTTAGCAGCCATGGATAACATTACTGACTATAGGATTATTGAAGAAAAATAAAATAAAAAATAGAAAATTAATTCAATTAAATCGGAAATATAAAAATATTTTAAGAAAATTACCGCAAAAATCAAAAAAAGGATGAGCAATTTTTGATTCATTTTTTGTTCGATTAACAAACGAATGAAAAGAAAAAGAGAAACAGTTTTTTATGATTAATAAAATTTATGTTGATAATAAACACAAATAGACCTTGATTGATGGATTGATCTGATTGATGATGGCCTTTAAATATTTAAAATTTTGGTCAAAATTATTCATTTTTTTTTTTTGCTGATAAAGATGTACTCAATTCGATCAAATGATTCTTATGATTTTTGTTGAAAACACTTATGTTATAATTAATCGATAAGATAACAATAAAAATATTTGAAATTAAGTTTATCTTTAAATAAGTAAAAGTTTATCTCAACGATAATGAAATATCTGTATACAGTTGTCCATCGTATAACACTATTTCGATATACCCCACAGTGAGATAATTGAGATTATTATAACAAGGTTTCGATATGGACAAACGGTACGACTGTACTTGAAAGGAAAGTCAATGAATATGGAATAGATTTGGGAGAAATTTCCGGACATCTAACAAAAATCATCATCATTTTTTTCCGAATAAAAATGTAAGAATTATTCATGGAATATATATTTTAAAAATGAATCTTATCAGTTTACAAACAATAATTCATGATTATATGATTGATTGATTGATGTGCAAACATCTCCTAGAGGAAGTGCGTTTCATACAACTAATCATATCCATAAAGGAAATGTCATTCTAATCATTATGATTTGATTTTCCGGAATCATTTTTGGAAAAATAAATTCATCATTTCAACAACAAGAACAAAAATCCATGAATGACATGATGATTGACATTTTGAACAAGCAACGAAAAAAACCTTCAATTTAATTCGCCAAAATTGTTGTTTGTTGTTAAATGAAATTCTTTGATCTTTTCATTTCATTTGGGCATCATAATATGGATGTGAATCAAATTGATTTGTCGAAAAATCAAGATCAAAATCCAAGAGAAAAAATCTCTAACCTTTTCATATATAAATGAACAAATTTTTCTTGATTAAAATATCAATGGAATTCCAAAACAAATTCATATTGTTCCAAGTAAATCTTTTGAAATTAACCTTTGAAATTGATAACTAATTTTTTTTTCTTCTCTTTCTCTCATAGAAATTGGTAATCGATTTAATTGGTTGATTTGAAAAAAACAATGGAAAACCGAATTTGTTTAGATTATTATCAAGGTGGATGTAACTATAGCGGTTATCATTGTAGTTTTCATCGTTCTGTTGTATGCTGTGATCGTACAGTTTTCTGTATAAAATGTAAACACTGATGTGATTCAATTTTTAAATTACGAATTTTCAAATATTTTTCATATTTTTTCTTCAAAACAATAGGTCCATCATTAGCAACCGCAATAACACTTTGTACAACCAATACAATGGAAACTATCGATGTTAATCTTATTGAAAAATCATTGGCTAAATTGTATATAACACCACAAACTAGAATTTGGGATTTAGTTCCGGGAATCGATGTACTTTACGATGAAATCCTAACGGTTTATGTTCCAACAATTTTCAATCAAGAAATTAATATTTTTAAACTTTCAATTTTTGAAATAACTTCAAAATTTTTCGTAAGAATTTAATTCTTTTTTTGTTTTGTTTTCCAGTCTTGATTCAAAATCCTCCACTTTTTTTAAAAAAACTTATAGACTGTCGTTTGGTCGTATCCTGAATATCGTAGAATCATTGATTTCACTGATTTCGATATTCGTATTAAAATATTTCTCGATAATCTAATAATATTTGCTATTTTAATGCGAAATGAATTGAAAAAACCAAAAGATCAACGTAACATGTATGCAATGACTATAATGTTGGCACTTGTAAGTGTTTTAATTGTTAAATGATTTATGGTATCTCAGTCTTATTAATTTGGATTTTTTTTTAACTTCTTCGTCCGATTCAAATAGGAAATGGAATGTTCAGCACGAGCATCTGTAATAACAACATGTTGCAATCAAACATTCATAACGGAAACTATCGATGCTGTTCGTCTTGAAAAATCATTGGCTAATTTGAACATAACACGTCGGACTAGAATTCTTGATCTTGTTCCTGGAATTGATTCTTTTTACGTTGAAATCATGACCATATATGTTCCAACTCTTTTCAATCAAGAAATCAACGTTTTTAAACTTACAGTTGCTGATATAGCTGCAAAATATTTCGTAAGAATTGAATTATTTTTTTTAGTTATTGAAAATTTAGATTGAAAATTTTCCACTTTCAAAAAAAAAACTATAGACGGTACTTTGGGCTTATCCTGGTTATCGAAAAATCATTGATTTTACTGATTTCGATAAACGCATTAAAATATTCATTGATAATCTTACATCATTTGTCATTTCATTGAGAGAAGAATCAAAAAAGCCAAAAGAAAAACGAATCGTGTTTGCAATGACCATAATGTTGGCTCTTGTAAGTGTTCAATTGTCGCTCTTAGTCTTATTGAATTGAATTTTTTTTTGGTTTGATTCAAACAGGAAACTGAAAGCTCATCGCCTGAATCCGCAATAGAAGAACCAGAACCCGAAATGAAAACAACCATCATGGATACAATCGATGTTGCTCGTATTGAAAAATCATTGGCTAATTTGAACATAACACGTTTGACTAGAATTAATGATCTTGTTCCTGGAATCGATACACATTTGGACGAAATCATGACTATCTATGTTCCATCTTTTTTCAAACAAGAATTTAACATTTTCAAACTTTCAGTTTATGAAATAACTACAAAATTTTTCGTAAGAATTTAAATCATTTTTTTGATTTGTTTGTTTTCCAATCTAGATTTATAATTTTACACTTTTTTCAACAATAGACAATTCTTTGGTCGTATCCTGAATATCGGCAAATCATTGATTTCACTGATTTTGATAAACGAATTAAGATATTTATTGATAATCTTAAAATGTTTGTCATTTCAATCAGAGAAGAATTGAAAAAACCACAAGACAAACGAACAATGCATGCAGTAACCATAATGTTGGCACTTGTAAGTGTTTAATTGTTAAATGATTTTTGGTATCTCTCTCACGCTCATTCTTATTATTAATTTGAATTTTTTCTTTTATTTCAAGGAAACTGAAGACACATTACTATCAACAGCAATAAAAGCATTCAACAATATAATATCATGAAATTCTTTTCGTTTCTTTCAATTAAAACAGGACAACAAAATGATTCGCATTGAAACACAAATTACAAATTTACAATTTAAAAATTACAAATTTATTTGAGAAAAAATTAAAGTTTTATTATTTGTTTCTGATTATAAAATGACATGATTAATGAAAAGAAAAAAATTCATTTATAAATAGGTTTACACATATTTCTTAATGATTCAATTAATTTCAATACAATATAAAATGTTTTTGCTTCATAAATACGATGAACATTATCAAATTTTTCCAATATCATTGCTACATCATAACAACTATATTCTTTAGCTTGTTTAGCTGTTGCATTAGCCATTTCGGTTAGAATATCGGATAATGATTCATAAAAATCTGGAGCATTTGCTGATGGTGATGATGATGATGATTCATTATCAAACAATGAATCAATTATTGAATCTTGATTGATCGGTATGGCCAAAACCGATATCATCAATGAACAGAATAAAAGACAAACAAAGAATTTCATCATTTTTTTTAAAATTTGAAATACAAAATCGTTGAATGGAAAAATGAAAAAATCAAATTGACATTTATATATGATCAATTTATGGATTTAATCTAACGCCAATTGACAATAGCAACAACAACAACAACAAATTGGATTAATCAATTAGTGGATTTAGTAAAAAAAAATGAAATAAAATTTATTATTATTTTTTTGTTTCTTTTTTCATCATTTGTCCCATTAATTGTAATTGTAAAAATGATAAAATCTGTGTTTGATCATCATCGGTTACATCTTTTGTTTGTAATAATTGTCCAGCTGTTTCGAATATAATCTGATCACCAGCTAGACCCGATTCATTTGCTCTATGTGCTAATGATTGTACAATCTGTATTAATAATAATCGTTTGGATTTTGAAAGCGATGCTGATAATGATAATGGTGATGGTTTTGATTCTGATGATGTTGCATCTAATGCTATATGAAAAGAATATAATTTTTTTTTGTTTCAGAATATTTATTTGTGATCGAAACTTTTAAACAAACAATCAAAAAAAAACTTACCAACAACAATCATCATTAAGGTCAATAAGAAAAATAATGATTTCATTTTCTCCTTTTTTTTTAAAAAATTCTTTCTGTTAATCTTGTTTGAATCTGTAATCCAAAAGGATTTATCCAATCGTTTGTTGTTGTTGTTGTTATATTTATACCAATCAATTGATCAATCGATCGATTGATCAATTTGATTGATTGATTGATTATTCCATGGTTAAATTTTCAATCCTCATCCAATTATCAAAATGTATTTATAAAAAAAAAATCAATCAATCTTGATTGATTTTCAAATCCAATCAAAACAATTAAAACTGGAAAAATTCCATTGTTAAATCAATTTACTCTTTGTCGATAAACTTGACAGCCAAAAAAGAAAATAATAATAATAAAAATCTTTGTATAATCATCAATTTAAAGTGATATTTTTATCAGTTAAGTAAAAAAAAATAATAATAAAAATAAAGGTCATCATCACTACCTGTCATCAAACGCACCTGATTGATCGTATACGTAAACGAAGAGAGAGTAGAAAAAAAAACAAATTAATTAAGTCGTAAAAAAATGAAATGAAATATGGTGATAAACTACTACTCGTTTTTTTTCATTTTTGGTTTCATTTCAAATCATATAGAAAAATCATTTAGTTAGAGAAAGAAAAAAGTCTTCATTATTGAAAATGAAAATGAATTGATTGATTGAACTTTTGTGGATATCAATATATTTTAATTTTCGCATTTAATCTAGGAAACTAGATCAGTTGGATTCATATCACACACACACACACACAGATCCAGGATATTACATTGAATCACTGATATAATCAGATATTGATCATGATCATGAACATTTGTGTTTTGTTTTAAATTTGAATATTCAAAAAGAAAAAAATTTAAAAATTTTTTAGTACCATCTTTGTTATCTTGATCGTTCAAGATAAACAGACATAGATAAATGATGATTGAAGTAAAAAAAACGGGAAAACAAAAAAAGTAAAAATGACCGAAGATGATCCGATTGAATGATAGCTGATTAATAACATTCATTTAGAGAAATTCGTAGAAATTTAAAATTCGAGGACAAAAAATAAAACAACAACAAATGATGCGTCCTTTTTTTTCTTGGCCACTTTTCCCTAAGTTCATTAAATTCAAGCTTAACTAAGTAAGTAAATAATTGAAAAGATGTTCAAAGATTGATAAGCAAAAAATTTTTTCGTTGCTTTCCCAAAAGTAAACAAACAAACAAAAATTTCCGTGTTCCAAGACTGATATCGAAAATATTAGGATTTTTTGTTTTTCTACTTACGGTTGCGGCCAAATCTAGTTAAAGTTCAAATAATCTTTGTCACTGATGATGATGATCTTATACTTTCCTGTTTTCATAGCGAGAAGAAAAATCAATAAAATAAAAAAAAGATAATCTTGTTTCGACTTTCGCTTTATTGATGTTGTTGTTGGATCATTCATTTTGAGAAAAAAAAGAGTGTTTTTCAACAGTGACAATTTCCAAGTAATTTTTTGTTTGTTTGTTTCACGTATAAAAACCGTTCGATATGAATGTTATGCATATCATATTTAGCAAAACCACTATTTATCCGATTTGTTTATCCACGAATGACATAGAATTGTTCTGTTTTTTTGAATTTCTTTTTACAATTTTTTTTACAATTTTTATCAATCAACAAATAATAATGCGTTGGTTTCAATTATTATTGGCCACAGTGGTCATTGTTGCCATTATTCATATGAATCAACAAGTTGAAGCAAAAAAATTAAAAAAGAAAGAATTATTGGCATTGATTCTTTTGTCAAAAATACCGAAGAAAAAACTTATTCTACCAATTCCATTACCGTTACCTCTTCCAATACCGTAAGTTTGTTTTTTGTTTTGTTTTGATTCAATTTTTTCAATGACAATGTTTTTTTTTCTTAATAAATCCTTAGAATTTTTGAAAGAACAAAAAAAGTTATCAAAAAAGAACCAGTTGTTGTGAAAAAAATTATCAAAGTTCCATATGAAGTTCCAGTAAAAGAACCATATTATGAAGAACCATATTATGATTCTTATTCAGCTGCATCCGGTGGTGATTTTGAACAAAATTATCATCCATCATCACGTTCACGTGATGGTTATCGTGGTCCTAGTAATTATGGTGGCGGTTATGATGGTAATGATGGTTCATATGATAATGATTATGAACCTTCATACTAAACAAAACATAATAAAACAAAAAAAACTGAATCTTGGCTGGACTGGATTCGATTTTTAGTATAAAAAAAAATTCATTCATCTACCGATTCCTCATTCTGATTTCCTAATTATTCATTTTATTTTATAAAATCATTTGAAACTTCAAAAAAAAACCATTCAAGATAAACCCAGAAATAGTCCAACAATAATAATAATAATATTTAACCATTTTTTTTCCATACAAACAAACATAATCATCGTTTTTATAATTTGAATTTGTAAATAGACAATAATTTTACCTCCTTATTTTTTTAAAATAAAAAATTCAAATTTTTTTCAAACAAAAAAAAATGATCTGTTTTTTGTGTAAATGACCATCAGATGGCGAATAAGTTCATGAAAGTTTTTTTTATTTGTTCTTGCTTCTTCTTGAAGACTTTCTTAAAATTAATTTTTTTTTCTTTCTTTTAAAGCGATAATTTTGATCAAGTCATGTCAAGACGATATCGTACAAGTTTAACATCAATCAGTCGTATCGATAAAAATGATGGTAACGATGATTATGATGATAATGTTGATGATTATCGATATCAAGATGATCAACATAATCATCAACAATTTTCACGAAACGATGAGGTTTGTTTGTTTTTTTTCAATCCTGAAATTTTTTTTTCTCCTCAATTTGAATTTATAATTTTATCAGTTTTTGCAATCATTTCATAATCAATTAAAACGTTTGACCGATCAGATGGCTCAGATGACCGAACAAATGCAGAATATGACCGATACGATTAATTCAATGACATTATCATTACAATATTTAACTTGTAATTTTAGTTTATTCATGAATGGTTCATCACCATCAAGATTAAATAGTACAACAATTTTGATTGATGATGATACAACTAGTCGTTCATTTGGTGGTGGTGGTGGTGGTGGTGGTAGTAATTTTATGCATACATTTAACCATAATGGTAATAATAATGTTATGAATTCAATGATAAATCGTAATGCATCAATCGAACAAATACGTCAAAGATCACCATCGAATGATGAACATGAATCCATTCGTATAGAAAGACAACGTTCATTTGTTGTTTCGGATAATGATGAAGAAGATATTTTCGAAGAAAAATCATTGGATCGAAGTAATTATCGATTTTTTCGTAATAAACGAAATGATGAAATGGCTAAAAAACCTACACCAATGAAACAAACACAAAAAGAATTGTCCATTTCAATGGCTGATAAAATTGTTGTGGTCGATCATCCTAAAATTAATAAAGTTTCCGAAGTTAAAAAACCAAATAAAAGACAAACAAAACAACAAAAACAACCAACAGTTTCAACAATAGCCAATCAAGCGAACAATGATGATCCATATGAATTTCCACCCACTAATACAAAGGAAAAAAATCGTCGAGGAAAATCCAAAACTACTAAAGTAAAAAAATCTGTGAAAAAACGGTCATAATCATTTTATAGTTGAATTTGATTTTATAATTTTTTTTTTAAACAAACTTTTTATTATAAAAAAATGAAATAAAAATATTTTACAAATACACAAACATTAACCAAAAATAAAAACGATTAATGTGATGATAATAAAAAACAATGATATTTTTTTAAAAAAATATATATAAAGAACATTGAATATTCTGTGTATTTGTTTTTGGCGATTTTTGAAAAATCATTTTTAAAAAATAGAATATATAAAAAAAATAAAATTAGAAAAAATATTTAAATCAAAGGCATTGTAGATGATATTTCGGGATTTTCTTTTGAAATGACATCATCATCATCATCATTATTATCAGCAGTAGCAGCAGCCTCAGCATTCATAGTACAACTAATCGCACCACCGGCCGACATAATTTCATAATTACAATTATCATCCACTAGTAAATGTTGTTGTTGTTGTGGATATTGATGATTATGGAATAATAATTGATTATGTGGATGTGGATAATGATGATGATAACCAGATGTTGTTAATGTTGTTATATCTGTTTGTGTATCGGTTATAGATGAGCTAGGTAAACTTTCCATACTTGAATACTGTTGTTGTTGTGGATGATGATGATGATGATGATTATAATGTTGTTGAGCCATTAATGGAAAAAAATTGGAATGATTATTTGAATTCATTTGAATCCATGATCCATAAGGAATAGTAACAGATGATGGTAAATTTGATATTGGATGATTATTCCATAGATTAGATAAAGGTGGATGTGATTGTAAAGTTTGTGATGAACATGTAATCAATGATGAAGGTGGTGGTAATTGTAGTTGTGATGATGTTGATGTTGGTGATGGATAAACCATATTCATCATTATCATTTGATCTACATTATTTGTTGTTGTTGTTGTCGTTGCTGTTGTTGCATTTGTTGATGATGAACATGTTGAAAATTGTCTATGTAAACGTTTAAATGGTGATGATGATAATAATAATGGTTTCTTTTTCTGAAATCGTAATGGCAATTTTGAACAACCACAATCAATTATAGTTGAAGTGGATTGTTGTGATGAATTTGTATCACGTCTTTGTTGTTGTTGCTGATTTTGATTCTGATTCAATAATGGCTGTGATATGGATGTTGATGCAGCCGAAGTCGATGTAAACATTGACGATTGACGATTCTTTGATGAAGGTGATTTATTTGATGAACACAAATTCCATACAAATGAAAAACAATGATTGATCATAAGGCCAAATGTTGAGTATTTAACATAGCTTCCCATACGACTAGATACATAATATGATAGATTATCGAATTGATCACGATTGGTTGATAAATGTGGATAAAGCATTTCAATTATTTCACCAAAACATGGTCGCTGTGTTGGTCGTTTACACCAACAAAGTTTAGCGATTTCCCATCTATATGAAAAAAATTGATAATTTTAGATGATTTAAATATTTTTTTAAATTGAAAAAATAAAAAAATAAAAATTCAACCTACAATGGTTCAAAATAATATAACGGTCTTGAAAGTCGACCATTATTTGCCAATAGTTTTTTCACTTCCATATCCGATCGACCATGATAAGGTTGTTCACCAAAAGACATTATCTCCCATAATACTACACCATATGACCATACATCAGAATATGGTGTGTAAACCTGATTTCGTACGGATTCCGGTGCCATCCAACGTAATGGCATTGGTGTTTCTTCGGATAAACTTTTAATAACAAATAAAAAATAACAATAAAAATAAGTTTATTTTTTCAAAACAAAAAGAATAACAATGAACAAATAAAACATACCGATAATAATCTTTTTCATAAAGATCACGTGTAAGACCAAAATCACCAATTTTTACAGTTAAATCAGCTGCAACCATACAATTACGTGCAGCCAGATCACGATGTATAACTCTTTTTGAATGTAAATAATGCATACCATCAGCAATTTGAATGGCCATACGAGCCAATTGATCAAACGATGGTAAAAGATCATTATTTCGACTTTTTAAATAATCCTGATATCGTTGTCGTAAAAATCGTTTCAAATCATTATGTTCCATATATTCCATTACTACAAGAATCGGTTCGACAGCAGTTGAAACACCCAATAATTTTACCAAAAAATTTGAATTAAAAGTTTTCATAAATTTTGCTTCCTGAATAAATTTTTCCTTATTTATTATCGCACCACTACCGGTAAAACCATTATCTTTTAATTGTTTAATGGCAACACGAATCGATGGTATATTATCATTATTTGGATTTGATTGAGTCATACATGTACATGATGAAATAGAATTTTCTGTTGATTCTTCTTCTAACGTTTTTGTTCCAGCCAAACGATGATATGAACAACCAAGATCATGATCTAATAATAATAAACCTTCATAAACGATACCAAATTCACCTTTACCAAGAGTTTTTTGTGGATTTAGTTTCAATGATTGACGATTAATTTCACATGCAATATTATCATTCGTTATGATCGATGAAGATGATGATGATGATAATGGTTGCTGTGGTCCATAATGAAATGTTGTCGACCAAAAATGATTTGAATGATCTGTATGATGATTATTATTGGACATATTACCATAATCTGGATTCACTGATATAACATCCATATTAACAAATGATTTTAATCCAAATAAACGATATAATCGAATTTGACGTTGACAACAGATAAATAATCCAATAATGGATAAAGTTAATATTGAAATTATAATTATTATGGTTTTGAGAATCCAATTTCCATTCATTTCATGTTGAATTTTGAATAATATTTGTTCAAAATCATCATATTTTGGATTAAATATATAATGTTGATGTACAATACATTTTTCATGACGTCGATCAACACAGAATTCTAATTTTATAACATAAAAATGTTCAAATTGAAATGGATATGTTTCATTTGTTATCATCATTGATTGATGTTTATCATTATTATAAGTATCATCATAATAAATATTATGTAAACGACAGATATCGATATTATCCAAACGACGATTATAGAGAAAATGAGCTGGATGAATATGCGATTCATTTTTAAAACTTTCATATAAATTATTCGTTTTCCAATAGGGAAAAGCTTTCTGATCAAATGAATTCGTATGATAAGGAAATAGAAATTGTTTATCCGAATAATCTAAATCGGATAATATAACTATTCTTGATGATATATTACAGAAAAATGTTGATCTCCGATCACCAGTTTCAACGAATGAATAAAATGTTGGATCAATTTCATAGATTGATGCATGCAATATAGGATAAATACGACGTTTTATTGTCGATATAATATTATCGAATCGTAATTGCGAATCAAAACCAATAATATTTGATCCATTTTCATCATCATTAATTGTTCGTACTGGTATTAAATAATTTGATTGAAATCTAGCCATTTTGGAGAATAATTTTCGATTACGATATCTATCCACTAGATGCCAATATGTTGATGAATGACGAAAATATGGCCGTGATTCAAGTATTTTAACCGTACCACATACTTGTTGTAATGAATCAATTGAAATATGATCACTTGTCCAAAAATTCGATATAGTTAAAGCAATATTATCAATACGACGATATCCATAAATACGTTTTAAACGTGGAAATATATGTCCCAATGTTATATTTACATTCAAATCATCATTAATTGAACGAAAATTATGTATAAGTAAAAAATCTCGAATAAATTCAAGATTCGGAAAGACTAGATTAATTAATAATGAATCATTTTGATTAAAATAAAAATGTCGTAATGAAACGAAACCGGAAATAATATGGCAATGTTCATATTGGCTTATTAATTTTGTTAAATTATTTGGCAATCCATTATTTTCTTTAATAAATGATAAATGTTTATTAAAATAACGTCCATCAATTTCGATATTTTCATGACAAACTATGCAATAATTTGATTAGGAATATTTTTTTTTAATATAACGACAAATTCATAAATGACATAACGGAAAAAAGATAGATTAAAAGAAAAAAATTCATTTTGAATTAAAAATAAATCACAAGGAAATTAAAATATTAAAAATGAAAACTTACTCTGATTAAGCGGATATTTTTCAACAATTTGATCAAATTGAAAACAATCAATATTGACATTATTATCATTAACAATGATTGATGATTGATTGAAAATTTGATTTGATTTCAATGTTGTTGTTGTTGTTGTTGATGCGGCTGTTGATGTCATCGTTGCTAATGGCAATAAATCATGATTATTATGATTATGATTATTATCATCAACTGTGGACAAATTTGGAATAATATTTTTAAATGTTGTTGTTATTATTGCTTCTGTTTTCGGAATAATCTGATTTTCATCATCATCATCAACATCAACATTATTATTATTATTATTATCATCATCTAATAATAATTCAGTAGTTGTAATGATTGTATCATCATTACTTATGTTCATCATCAATGTTGTTGTTGGTAATGATGATGTTGCTTCTGTTGTTGATGATGATGATGATAATGTTTCAATCGATTGATGGCCATCGGTTAATGTTGATAATGATAATAATAATAATATAAATATGGATATCGGATGAAATCGAATGTATAATTTTGTTGTTGTTGTTGTTGATGACGTTGATCGTGGAATTTTTCCTCGATGTGAACCACCATAATTATATGATGATAATAAAAATAATAATTTCCTCAACAAATAGCAATGATGGGGATGTTTGTCTTTTAATATTGCCATTGTTGTCATGTTTGGATATGATATGATATGGATTTTTTTTATTTTTTATTTTTTCATGAAAAAATTTTTTGATAATTTTTAGTATCCACTATATTCTGGAACACGAACACACAAAAACTTGAAATTTCAAAAAAAAACAAACAAAAATTTCACATCAAAAAAATGATTATTAAAAAAACAATGTAGAAATTGATGGCTCCATAAAAATTAATGGTCTTTATATTCGAACAATGTAAAATGAAGATGAAAAACACGGATCAATAATGTGATGAAAAAAAAATTTTTTTTTTGAAAAAGTTCAAATTTCTGTAAAGCAATATTTGATGATTTTTTTTCGAAAATAGTTTGTTTTTTTTGCCAATCAATATCCTCAATGGAATCTAAACAAATAAAAAAACGAAATTGAAATCAAAAATTTTAAAAAGAAAAGAAAAGAAAAGAAAAACAAATCACGTGAAAAAGCAAAAGCGAAAAACAAGACACGTGCTTCATACACCCCCCAATATATATATAGGACGCGCACATAATTGGTTTCATTTTATTTTATTCATTCATCCAAACCACCAAAAAAAACTGATTTTGGAATTGTAATGTGGATGAATATAATAACTAAACAAAGAAAAAGAAAAAAATACAGCATGCGAAGAAACATAAAAAAACCTTGAACCAATCATCATCAACATTCTGTTACCTAAACATTGAACAAAAACAAAAACAAACCATCATTATGTTGTGTGTGTGTCTTGGATCAAGTGAACAACAACAAAGTTATAAAACATTTTTATGTTTCCTTCGCATCCACCAAAAAAAAAAAATAAGAAGACAGAATGAAAAATGTTGGAAAAACAAAAATAACAAAATGAATGTAAATTTTACAAAGAAAGAACGATGAACGACAAAAAAAAAACTAAAGTTTTGAAGTTTACAAACACCAAGCATTGAAATTCTCAAATTGATTTATTCGACCAATCCAAAAAAAAGAGTTAGTCATTTGAATTTGAATTTTTTCTTTCTTCTTTGACTAATCAAAATGGATCGCTTATGCTTGTAGATCTGGAATGGAATTTACTGAAATTTCACTGTATTTTTATATCATTATAATTAACAACAAAAAAAAAAATCGACCAAGAAAACAACAACTATTTTCAGCTAACAAGGTAAAAATAAAGCCATAATGTTAAAAAAAATCAGGATTTTTGTGGAAACATCTGGAAATTCTTTTTTTTTCATTCAATCTATAAAATTTTCAAAAATTTTTAAATTTTCAACACCACCACCACCACCATCACAGAAAAAGAATAACCAAAGTGAACAATTTTTCTTATGACAAAAAAAAAGTGAACCAAAGTTTACAGTTTTAGTTTATATTAAAGTTTCAGCCTATGGCCATTTGAATATTTGTTTTCATTTAAAAAACAATCAATAAATCAATATAAACACCTACCTGAAGTAAATTTTTTTTAAATAATTCAAATTTGTCACAGCAAAAAAATAAAAATGCTTTCAAAAAATTCTTAAAAAACTGTTGATAATGATGCAACAAAAATTATTTGATGTAATAAATTTTCACTTTCACTGTTGTGTGTGTGTGTGGATGATCATTGAATAGCAAAGAGAGAAGAAAAAAAAACAACAATGACCAGCATTGAACTTTTCAAATTGTCAAAAAAGAATAAAAAAATTCATTGCCATCACATGCACATTGAATAATTTTACATACATATTTTCTATTTGAAAATTTTAAACACAGAATCTCTATTTCTTTACATTTAATAATAGTGGTTGAAATGAAATGAAATGATGATTAAAACGAAAAGATTTGTTGCTTGTTATTCAATTTATAAAGTTAAGGTTTTTTTCAACTCTCACTACATTCACTTTCTTTCTCCATCTTTCACTGATTGAAGAATGAAAACTGGATTTTTTTTTTTATATATTAAAAGAACATTGGTTTGGTTTGGTATTCAACCCACTGATCAATGATCAACTATCAACCATTGATGATGATATGAATAAAAATTGGAAGGCATGTCTGATGTACGATATCCATAGCATGGCATGGCGGTATTATCTAATGATGTTTTTTGAGCATGTACACAACACTGAATGTATTTGTGTGTGTTTGAATGGATTTGAATGAACGATTATTCCAGGTTTTTTGGCCGAAAAAAAAGAAGCATGCTTGTCTTTTTATTTGTTTGATTTTGGTTTAAAGTCTGTCGGTAATGTTTTGAAATAGGATCTTCACTAACAACAACAAAACTTGCTTTTTTCAATGAAATAATTGACAGCAACAACAAAAAAAAAAAAAAACAAGCTAGCTTCGCGAATATAGACAAAGCGCAAGCTAGGATCCTTTTTTTTAAAGATGATTCAATTTAAAGATGATTTTTCTTTTCTGTATAGATAGATTCAATATTCTATATAGCAATAGTGTGGTTGGAAGCAAAGCGGTGGTGGTGGTCATAAAAAATGTTGGATATTGTTGTCGGTATAGTTTAATGATATTCCTACATACCCAATTCTCATATTTTTAATTTGAAATGAACGAAGAAAAAAAAAATCTTGGTTCATTGTCTTCTTCATTATATTATCTGGTCAGGCGTATTATACATGACAGCAGCATGGATTCTGTTTTGTTTTTGTTTTCGAATGGAAATCTTCGTTCAACAACCCATTTTTATCATTTTAGTTCTTTTGAATTTTTTATTTTTTATTTTCTTCACAAAATTCTTCATCATTTTCGCTATGTCCAAGTTATTCAGAATTTTTTTTTTTGGTTCAAATCAAAATCGTCATCAATATTTATTTTTTTCCCCCACATAAAAATATTCTTCGTTTTTTTTCTAATCGAATATTTTTTGTGTTGTGTGAATTTCGAATACGAAATAGAAGAAAAAACAAGGAATCAAACAGGAATTCAAAAAAAAAAAAAAAATGATAAAATTTTTATATTCCGTATTGACCATTGTTTGGCCATCTTCCCCCATAAAATATTGACATATTTTTTTTGTCTACTATTATTGTCGATGATGAAATTTTTGACAAAGATTTTGTTACCATCATTGTTGAAGCTTTTTTCCAAACAAAAATAAGGAATTTCCGCAATGGAAATTCGAACCAAAAAAAGAAAAATCGGATCATTAACAATTCTAATTGAAATAATAAGAATTTCTTTTTTTCACCCCCCTGTTACCTATTAATTCTTTTCAAAAATTCTTGTTTCGAAATTTTATTTTTTTTGAATAATTGAATTCTGTCGAAATTCAGACAGAATCAGAATTTGTCTGTCTAGTGGTATTAGGTGGCTATTCGAATTTGATTTTTTCATTTTCATCACATCATTATTCCATTAGGTAATTAATCAATGCAACAACAAGAAGAAAAAACAAACATTTTTCCTATTGGAGTTTATACTTGTTGAGAAAAGAAAAAAATGTACATACAGGAAAAACCAGAATTGAAAAAAAAGGATCAAGAAAATCAAGATTGATTTAACCATTTCTTCATTAATTTTCATTTCTGTTTCGAATTCAAACAAGAAAATAGAAAACCTATTCGATAATTCTATCGGATAGAATATTTATTTCTTGTTTTTTTTTGGTTTGTTTGTTTGTTATTATTTCATTATTAAAATCTCATAATTAATTATGTTTGCTTTTTTCGAGGTCAACCATTTCTCTTTCACTTTATTTTCAAATGAAATTTTTAAAAAAAATTTCCTGGGAAATCATTAACATCAACTTGAAAGGCTGATTAAGGTAATTTCGAGAGAAAAAAAATGACCATTTTTACAAACGAATTAATAAGCAATTAGCATAGCAAACAGAAAATTCTGCTGTTTTTTTTCACCTGCTGATCATCTTTATTTCAAGTGTTTGATGAACGGGTTTTGTTGTTGTTGTTGTCTGATTTTACTGTCAATTTTGCTGTTTGCTGCTTGCAACATTTTAAAATTGAATATATAATGCGCAAACCAAAAAAAAAGTAACAAAACCAAAAATTTCCCAGAACTTCTTCTTTTGCTCTGATTTTTTTCTTTCAAGATCATAGAAGATATCAAAGTAAAACCGATATGACTAAACCAACTCAAATCAAACCAAATCATTAACTAAATACCAAGTGATAAAAGATGATCAAGGTTAATTGACGACAACTTCTAATAGGAGAAAAAAACAAGAATTTTAAATAAAATTCTTCAAGGAGATTTACAATTTAAAACAACAACCACCAACTGTGTATATTTGCCAACAACGAACAACAGTGAAAAAAAAACTCTTAAGAGAAAACAAATTAAGAAAAAAAAACATAAATTTTCAAGTAAAAAAAAACAAACAACAAATTTGAAAATCATCAGGTTTAAACATTTCAATGTTGTATAAAGGAAAAAAAATGTCAAAAAATGATTCTAACGAAAAAAAAACGCACATCTACATTCTATAGAAAAGCGAATGTTTTTTTTTCTAGAGAAAACATTATCCTATCTAGTGACAAACTAATGATGTTTTTGTTTTCAATTTTAACTTGGAACATTTCCAAATAATGTATTTTCATTTAAAAACAAGAAAAACTTTGTTTAAAAAAAAATTTAACCAATTGTTTTCTATAATTCAATTACAACGTAATTACAATATTTTTTTTTCATGAATGAATCGAACGTTTGATTCAAAAAAAAAAACAAATTTTTCTTATCATGAAAAAGCACTTACGTTGTTATTTCGTTGCATACGAATGCATTGTATGTTTTGGTCGATTGATTAGTCCATTGATGATGGTTAAAGTAATAGAAAAATATTTACAAAACATTACTTTGTAATTTACTTTTTTTTATATAAAAAATTTCAAATTTTAAAAGAATCGTTTTTGTTATTCTCATTGTTGTTGTTGTTGTTTGTTATTATCGGAATTTAATTCACATGAGATTTCATACGAAAACTAACAGAATAAGAATCATTCTTTGATGCACGCAATTGAAACTTTTGAAAAATTCACAACAACAACAAAAAAATATCAAACATGTTGCCAAAATTCATTGTTCAATTGTTGTTGTTGTTGTTAATTGATGATTAGGTAATTAAATTGAATTTCAATTTCAATTTGACAAAAACTTTGATGTGTTTTAATGGCAATGTTGAATTAATTGAAAAAAATATCTGAAAAGTTGATGCTGAAATTCTAATTAATTTCAAATGAAAGTGAAAATTTAGAAAGTAATAAAAATCAATGAATTTTCTTTTTTTTTTTGCAAAGCAAAGCAAAATTTGACCATTCGATAAGGAGATTATCATATCCGCGGATAAAAAACAAGCCAAACCTTCGAATTTTTTTTCAAAAAAAAAAGAAAGAAGAAATTTCCCTGCAAAAACATTGACGGAAAACTTTTTTTGAAAATTGAAAATTAAAAATTGGTCATTCTAATCAAAAAAAAAAAAAAAAATATTTCCTTTTATTTAGTCTGATGATGATCAGGATTGATTGCTGGTTGGTTTGTTCGGTTTGTTTGTATTTAAACATGTGATGAATATATATAATTAGCAACATTTAAATGATGATTAGATAACGAAAATCATTCCATTTTTCTCTATTCATTCTATCAATTCACATCGATGATGATAATGAAAATCTAAATAAATAGCGGAGAAAAAAAAAGAAAAGAAAAATAAACACTGAAAAAGAAGAAAATTGATTAATAAAAGAAATTTTATTAATAGAAAATAATTGCATGCAATTGAACTTACCGAAAATTTTTATTTTCGTTAATGTTAAATGATGGTCATTGTCATCAACGATCGATCAATCGATCAAAATTGATATTAATGATGATAAAGATTGATTGAATCAAAAAAAAAATTGAAATTCACAAGTTTCGAAAACATAACAATGTTCGAATTTTTTTTTGCTGCTCGTTCGAAGATTCAAAAAAACATAACATAACATAACATTCGAATTTCATTTTCCTTTCCTTATTAGATATATAGAAAATGTTGGAATTTTGATAACAAAAAAAATTTGATTATTTAATTAATGACATAGTTTTTTTTGGCATGTTGTTTGTTTGTAGAAAACTACAACTGTACACATTATTTTTTCTCTGAAATTTTAGTTTTAACTGAAAAAATGAATCGATTTTACAATTCCAGATAATACTTAATATTTTTTTTTCAACGAAACTCTTTTTTGTTTGTTTGTGCTATTTGATCATCATCGTAAATGACCAATGTTGGCTATAAATAATCGATTTTTCCAATGAATCATAAAATTTGGAAAAAAATGAGGAAAATCATTATCATTATCATCAACAACATCATCATCATCATCATTAAACGAACGTGCAATCATCAATACGTAAAAAATGATGATTATAGAATTTTCTTTTGCAGAAAAATTATTCAATTCAAATGTATTCATGTTTGTTCGAGAATAATTTTTGTTGATCGTCCCATGATGATAATCATATCGGATAAACTTGTTTATTTTAAAATGATACTGAAGATTCCAACATCATTATTCAAATGATGTTACTCAGAAATTGAATTATTGTATTTAGAATTAATAAAAAATTATCGATAATATTGATGCAAAATCCTTCTTTCATTTACCTCTTTTAGTCTCTTTTCAATCAAAACAATCAATTCCGATTCATCATGGTTTATTCGATTCGATCAATGACAACAACAACAACAACAACAAGGATAAACAAACTTGAATCTAAATTTGGTAATAAGTAAAGAGAAAAACAAAAACTATCATTTATAATTACGCCCTTGTTATTTACCTTCCTACACAGGAATTTTTTCGTATTAATAGAAATGGGAAGCAAAAAATTCAGTAAAGTTTTCTTACGATTTAATCATAAATATGATGGTGGTTTAATTGAATCGCAATAACCAATTCAATTCAATTCGGTAGTTGAACTTGAGTTATTATTTGAAATGTTCCTTTTGTTTTGTTGTTGTTGTTAATTTTTGTTACGTTCAATAATCATCGTTGATGAACAATTTCGTGAACTTTGATGATCATCATCATTTTTGGGTTGATTTATTTTCACTTTGAAAACAAAAGTGAAAAAAAGAATTCGCATTATAAAAGAGGAAAATTTTTCGATTTGTTTTCGATTTCAAAATGAGCAATGATTGATTGATTGATGATCGTTGACATTTTATTATTATTATTATTTTTTCAATTGTTTTTGTTTCACCATTTTTATTTTCTATCGGTTTTTATTATTGTTCAAATCATAATGCCATCAATATTACGTACGGCCATTGATCTTTTAAGAATTGTTGGTAAACGTTATCTGAATCCACGACGACAACATCGTTTTATTCAGCAATCAATGGAAAATAAACAATATCGTTCATTTATACATAAATGTTTTCCATATTTTCAGGTAAAATCATTACAATTATCATCATGGATACAATTATGGCCAACAATACAAAGTCTTATGATAAATATTGATAGTGATGGTCGAAAATTACATTATCATTGGAAAGTAATAAATAGTATACGAAAATTATCAAAACAATCATTGATTATTAAATTCAATATGATCATACAATTAAATAGTAATAAATTGATTGTAAAGTTTTCAAGTCATTGGGAACGTGAATGTTTTTTACTTATCTGTAAAAAATTGGGTCGAATACCAGAAAGGCCAACAAGAAAAATTGAATCATCATCATCATCATTGTTGTCAAAACGAAAAAATCATCAACAACGACGACGACCACGACAACAACGAATTCATATTAAACATCGTCGTAAACAATATCCGGTAATTCGTGATTTATCCGAATCGAATGAAAATAATCAACGTGATGAACAGCTAAAAATTCTTAAAAGATTTTTAAGCATCGGAAATGATTCGAATCGATAGTGAAAACAATCGATATTTTTTTTAATAATAATATTTATATAATAAATGGATTTTATTCGAATTTTTTGTTTGTTGACCATTTTTGTTTTTGTTTCGCGCCGAAAAAAGAAATCTTTAAATTTTTGTTTGTTTTTAAATTTATTAAATTTGCTGATCAAACGATATAGCAACAAGATAAGCAAAAAAACTGTCAAGACACAATTACGATTGTTAACGGCAAAGCAAACACCAGATAAGGACAGCAGATTTTTTTCCTACTCATCATCATTATCATCATCTTCATCAATTGTTTTTATCATTCATTTGAGTGTACAAACTATAAAAACTTTGGCATTTAAACATTGAATTTTTTTTTTCATTTCACCACCAGAGCTTCAGTATTCAAGCATTGAAGGACATTCCAATTTTTTTTTTGGTCGAACGAAAAAAAAAACATCAATCAATCATGAATCAATCACAAATTCGAATGAATTTTCATACTGATTGTGAAAATGGTATTAATAAATTGATCAATCTTCGTAAGTCGAAAATTTTGTTTTTCTTTTTTTTTGAAAATCCTATCAATATTTTGATTAATTGATTAATCCATTGAATAGAATTGCGTGCATCCTATATATTTCAACAGATGGCCAATTATTTTAATCGTGATGATGTAGCATTATATGGATTTGAAAATTTTTTTATTGAATCTTCATTGAAAGAACGTAAAAATGCTGAACAATTTATGAAATTACAGAATCAACGTGGTGGCCGTATCATTTTGGATGATATACGAAAACCATTACAACAAACCTGTTCATCCGGATTAGAAGCAATGAATGTTTCGATTGAATTGAAAAAAACAATCAATCAATCATTATTAGATTTGCATGGTTTAGCATCTAAACATAATGATCCACATTTTGCCGATTTTATTGAATCACATTATCTTGATGAACAGGTTGAAGATATTCGAAAATTATCCGATTATATTACAAATCTTAAACGTTGTGGTAATGGAATTGGTGAATATCTTTTCGATCGTCATTCATTACAATAACCAAAACAAAAAGAAGTTTTTATTTTTTTTACTCTTTAATTGAATTATTAAAAAAAAAAATACAATTTCGTAAATATTTTTCGTAAATGAGAATTTAAATTCCAATTATTATTCAGATAATTCATCATCATCATTTTCACTGGCTGATGATGATGATTGTGATGAATCATCATATAAACAATTGGCAAATTTTTTTTTAGATTTTTTTGGTGAAAATTTTTGTCGATGTTGATTTGTTGTTGTTGTTGATCGATCGTTAATTTTTTCTATAGTTGTAGTCACTGATGGCGATGATGATAATATTTTTGTCGGTGATTTCAATGGTGATAACGGTGGTGGTGGCGGTGGTGATGATGATGATGATGTTTGATCAGTGATCATCATCATATCTGATTCTATTGGTTCTGATTTACAATCATCATCATCATCATCATCATCGTTATTCGATAATTTTCTTTTTTTCGCCTTTTTTGATTTTGTTTTCTTTGTTGTGGTTTCAGTTTGATTGTTTTCAATTTCATCAATTGTTGTCGTTGATTGAATTTCATTCATTTCAAATTCTTTTATCTCTTCTTTTGTGGGTAATTTTCCATTCTATAAAATTTTTGGAGAAAAATTTTTTAAAAAATAATTTTTCATAGGTTTTTTTTACAAAAATTTACAAACCCTTTTAAAACGATTGAATAATTTTTCAAATAATTCACATTTATTTGATTGTCGATCAAGATAATGTTGTTTTTCATCAGTTGACATTGTTTTCCATTTTTCCGATGCATAACGCATTCGTTCTTGTGTTGTTTTATCTTTCATTGTTGAAAGTATTTGACTACAAAATGCTGTAAAACCACAACGACGTGGTTTACGTAGACCAGTTTTTTGATAAAATTCTGATTCTTTATAATCTTTAAATTTTATTTCTTTTGTTGTTGTTGTTGATGATGATGATGATTCTTTTTTATTGGTTGTATTTGTTGGTGATTTTTTTGTTTTCGTTGGTAAAAAATCTTGCATCGATTCAGCAATTTCAAGATAATCAGATTTTTCCGAAGCTGGCATCGATGACCATTGTTCATTAATTATTTCCATTAATTCTGTTTTTGATTTATCCGGAAATAATGGTTTTAAACGATGCATTTCATTCATCTGATATGCAACCATAGCTGCCTGATCAATAGCGGCTGATTTTTGTCGTAATTCTTTTGTCAATGCTAAAATCGATGATGTTGGCATAAATTGTTTACCCAATGAAAAATAATTTTTTTCACTTGGAAATTTAAAATGTCCTTGTTCAATTAATAATTGTTTTTTCTCTTCATCAGGCAATGTATGAACATAATCATCAAATTTTCTTATATATTCACTCATCATATTTTGTGCATCTTCTTTATATTTTGCTCGTTCTTCTTGTGTCATTTCTTTCCATCGTTTAGCAACAAGTACCATTTTTTCTTTGGAAGGAACATCTTTAAATTCTTTGAGCATTATCTGTGAAAATAACATATAACCTGAATTTGGTGGTCTTGCTGGCATTCCCTGATAACGACGTCGTAATTCTTGTTCATTTTTTGTTAATAATGATTTTGATATTGATGGTGCTGTATATGTTGGATTAGCGGCCATAAATTCTTCCAATTCATTATTATATCTTTCTTGATCTTTAAGTGATTTTTTAATAAATTTATAATGTTTTTTATCACTTATATTATTCCATTGTTCACGTATACGATCCTGTATAGTTTTTGCATCTTCATCCGTATCTGGTGGTATTTTTTTCATTCGAGATAATCGAAATAATTGAAATGGTGTGCGCGGTTTATCCGGTCCGATTTTTTCGCCAGTACGCATACGTTGTGAAAATACTTCCGGATGTTTTGATCGAAATATTATCATTTGTTCACGATATTTAATAAGATCTTCTTCATATTCGCGACGATATTTTGCTCGTTTTTTCTCGGATAATTTTGCAAATTTTGGTGACATCAATTTTGCCAATTCGGCTACTGATTTGTCTGGATATTGTGCTTGTAGTTTAGGACGTTTTTCTAAAAAATATCGTAAAAATAAGGAACATGGTTTTTTAGGACGATCAGGATGATTTAATTGACGTTTATCGGTCCATTCAACAGCATCGACAAGCATTTCGGATAATGTTCGATATTTTCTTAATCGATTCATAATATTCACAGCACATTCTTTACATTCATTTGCATCATGATTACCGAATTTTATTTGATTCCAATCGATTGTCTTTTCCAATGTTGTCGAATATTTTGTCTGATCATTTTGTGGTAAACATTTTTTGATATTTTCCAATAAAGTTTTTAAATCTTTTGTAGACCAACGACTATCAAAATCATCTGAAATATAGTTTAAATCAATCATTCGATCGGAACAGTTTGACAAAAATAAAAAAGAATACTTACCATTGATGACAGAATCATTTGACAATTCAACTATATCTGGCTCAATACCATTATTATTATCGGCAATCATCATCATCATCAATGACATTTCATCTTCATCTTCAATTTTAATATTATTCGTTTCTGTAATATCGTTATCATTATTTGCTTCATTATGATTTAATTTTGATTTTTTATGTTTTTTTCTTTTTGTTGTCGATGAATCCGATAATTGTAGTTGTTCGTTTGTTTTCGAAATTAAAATTTCTTCATCCATCGTTGTTTAATCATAAGTAAAAGATTAATGTGATGAATTTATTGCGAAATATTTATCATGGATTTGTAGTTGGAAATTATGTCAGAAAATTTAACCGTAAACACTTCAAGCAATGCTTTTAAGCGAAAAATGAAATGAGCAAAAGCAAACCAAAAAAAAAAGAAACTCGCTATCAACTCGGATCAGTGTATTCAACGTGTATAAGAGACATACAATACGCATACGAACCGGATTTCAATTATTTTACCTTCTTCTTACATTTGAGCCAGTATTAAAGCCAGCCATTCGGCTTTAACATTAACGCTTACCGCTGCCCTAAAACATTGTATTGGAATTGCACATATCACGTGATATCAGGAAAAAAAAGAATAATTTTTTTTCTATCTATTCTCTGATTTTATTTAAACATTTATCAATTACAAGATTAAAAAAAACATAAAATCGAATCAAAAAAAAAGTGAGAGATCACAATAAAAAGAAATGGAAAAGATTCGAATGTGGATTGCATTAATTATTTATTCATTCATCCAAAAGGATATTGCCATAAATTTCATCAATTTCATCTTTAATTATTTCCAATTGTTTATTTTCATTACGAATATCCTTAATCTTTGATTGTAATTGTTTACATTTTTTATCCATTTCCATTAATGTTTGATATGTTGTACGTAATTGAATCATATGATAATGGTAACGATCTTTATCATTATTTTCAAATTCTTGAGTCGGCATGGTCATCCATTTTATCATTTTGGATTTTAATATTGTTTCGGATTTATCGTCAACATTATCAGCGTTATCATCATTATCAACATTATCAGTAATAGATGTTTCGGTTATGGTCGATGATTTTCGTTTTTGATTAACATTTGATGATTTTTTAATTTCCATATGCTGTTCATTTTCTTGATCATTATTTTCTTTCAAAATTCGTCCATCATTTTTTAATGTTTTAAACATTTTGCCAATATCATTAGCATCATTATTTTTGTCATTGTTGTTGTTGATAACAATCGATTGTTTAAGATTTGTTTGTTTAATCGAATCATTATTAATTGAATGACGATCAATACGATTAATATCGATTACTTGGCCAAATGTTCGAGATAATTTATGATTTCGTCGATAATCAGTATTCATATTGTTCAATGTTCTGATGACAAATTAAGAATGTTTTTTGAAAATAATAATTTTCAGATAAATGTCTTCAAATTTCAGTTTATTTTTGGCAAAATAGTAACTTGTTGACCTCATGAGACCGAACTCAGAAATGAACGAATATTTCGCGCTCGAATACGATATATCGAATACGAAACGTACTTTATGAATGATAATTTCGAACACATGCTTGCATGCATGCTTCGTCATCATCCGATTTTATCGAATTTTGATCGATCAAGTGGCTGGCAAGTTTTCTATTTCGTTTTTCTTCTAATTATCTGTAAATAATTAACAGATTTTTTCCTAATTGTGCCAGAATGGATTGTCAATTTCGATTCGGTTAATTTGGAACATTTAGTTCCATATAATTAGCTTTTCTTTTCACTAAAATATATTGTGATATTTATCAAATCATCATATTTCTATCCTAATCTGACCAATTAATTTGACAAATGGCTAAATTTATTGTACACGATTCTAATGGCCTACATGTTTGGTCGACAGGTGGTCCAAATGAAACGGTTGAATTATTGAAGACTTTAGATAATGGTGATCAAAAACCATTGAATGTATTGCCATCACCGGATTGTAAATATTTGGCTATCATATTCAAAGATCGTGTATGTGTTTTTACACATGATCAACTTGATAAACCAATATTGGAATTAATGAATGAAAATGTTAAACATGCAGAATTCTCACCCAAATCGTCAATGATTATGTTGTTTACTCCATTCGCTCAACAGAATCCATCGCCTAATTTAAAAGTATTTGATCTGACAAAAAATGGTCAATTAATTCATGGTATTGTTTATTGCTTCAATTTTTCTTTCATGAAATTTTGAATAAATTTTCCAATTTATATAGAATGGACAATCAAAAAGCGTGAACTACTTCAATGGTCAACCGATGAATCCATCGCCCATCGCCTTTGTGGATCGGAAATTCTATTCTTCGAAAATAATGATTTCAGTCATTGTGTGCAAAAAATTTCACAACCAAAATTGACTACATATGGCTTTGTAACGGACAAAGCAGGCTGCAGTTATGTTGCCATTTACATAAAAGGCCAAAAAGGTTCACCAAGTATGATACGAATACATGGTTATCCGCATATAGATAATGTTATTGTTTCGAAAAGTTTCTACAAAGTCGATACAGTAGATATTAAATGGAATTCGAAAGGTTTGATTTTGTCGACAAACTTCATTATTTTAATCATTAATAACAATTTATTTTTCAATGGTTAGGCGATGCAATTTTGGCCATGACTTCAACCGATTATGATTCAAGTGGTCAAAGTTATTATGGGGAAACTATGCTACATTTTATGGATCTTCGTGGTGAAACATCGACCATTGTTGGTAAAAAAGAGGGTGCTGTTTCAGCTGCTGAATGGTTACCTAATAATGATGGATTCATTGTCATTCAGGGTAAAATGCCTGCTCTGGTTACTTGGTATTCTAATCGTGCTGAACCAATGTTTTCATTCGGTGAATTACCCGTCAACGGTATTCTTGTAAATCCATTTGGTACATTATTGGCTCTTACTGGTTTCGGAAATCTTTCTGGAAATGTTTATGTTTGGAATATAAAAGCACGATCATTGATTTCAAATTTCAAAGCTGTTGATACAACTTGTTATAGTTGGCTAGCCGATGGTCTTCATATGATAACTGCCACTCATTATGATCGATTAAAAGTAGCAAATGGTTTCAAAGTTTGGAATCATCTTGGTTCACAGATCCATCAACAAGATGGTTCTGATGAAAGCAAAATTCAACTTCATCGAATTTTCCCATTCGATCCTGTTGGCCGATTTGAGGAACCTAAACTGCAAGCAGGTGTCAAGGGTAAAATTCTCTGTGAAGAACCAGTCCATAAATATGTTCCACCAAGTTTGCGAAACAAACAATCCGAACCCTCAAAATTAAGCAAGCCACCACCACCAAAACCATCGATTAAATCGTTGAATAGACAATCACAACCGGTAGCAGCTAAAGATCCACAAGCGATAAAGGAAAAAAAATTGAAGAATTTGCAAAGAAAATTGCAACAGATTGAACAATTGAAAAAAATACAAGAAGAAGGCAAACAGCTTGAAAAGAATCAGCTAAGTAAAATCGAAAAATTAGATGATATAATCAAAGAAATTGAAATGTTAAAAATGGAAGCATAACAATAAATTGTTTTTAATTGTTTATTCATTTGCAAAGGGAACAAACAAACCAATGAATTAATATGTAAAATCTAATGATTTTTAAGAATGAAATGATAATAAAAAAATGATCAATATCAGAATGTCGATCCAAACAAAAAAAAAGAATAATATTTTTTTTCATTGTCATTCTCGTATCAATGTTAATCGACCAATGGTGAATCGATTTTACATTATCAACGTGTGTATTTCTTGGTAAAAAAAGAAACCAAAAAATTTTTAAAAAAAATAATCGAAAATGTAAATTATCGATCACAAATGTTCCTTGTCGATCTTTGCATTGCGTTTTTTCTTAATTTTCAATCGTTGGGGCGCATAACATTTTAAAAACTAATATCATCATCATTAAGAAGAAGAAAGAATAATAAAGAAACAATTCGGTTACATTTTTTTTTTATGACAACGACCATAATGAATGACTTTATCGACATTGAAAACAAAAAAATATTAACCATTATAAAATTAGAATTAAAAATTTAAGTTTTCTTTTCAAGATAAAAACATAAACACACAAGGGTTCGTTTGTTTGTTCTTCAACGGTTTCCAAGACATTTTATTTTTATTTTTTATTTTTTGGTTGATTCCATCCAAAATGAAAACAATATGAAAAATGACTTTTCAATGCCCGCCATTTCAAAAAAAAAATAGTGCGTTTCGCAGCGTTATTAGTAGTTACAATTCTTGTTCATTTGATCATCTAAAATAATTTAAATTTTTTTCTAGCTTTGATTGATCGAAATATATGTGACAATGATGATGATGATGATGGCTAAATATTTGTATTTTAAAGTTTGAAAATTGATTTTTCAAAAAATTAGAAAAAAAAAATCAATAACATCCTTATTTTTTCATTTAAAAAAAAATTCTACCTTCAACAACAATGATAATATTATCATTATCATCATTATGGCCATCATTAACGGCTACATTTTCAATACAAAGTTTATTGATTATATCGATAATAGGAATGATGAATGCTCAACAATCAGCATCATCAATACCATTAATGACAACATTCGATGCAACATGGGATGCATTAAAATGTGCAATGAAAATATCATTAATACAGATGGCCAAATATCATAATAATCAAATGTCATGTTGTGGTCTTTGGGTAATGAAATGGTTTATAAAATCATCAGCTGAAGAATATTGTGAAAGACCTGAAGGTGCAAAACAAGTGTTTGATCAATATATTAATGGTGATCTAATCTATAATCAAATGGTACGATCAGTATTAGGTGATCCAGATTTAAGCTGTGATCCATATCCAGAAGGTTCATCCGCTTGTACACGATTATGGATAATGTTAATATTATTAATTGTAATCGGTATACTATCAGTTTATATAATTATTATGTGGTGTTGTTGTGTTACTTGTTTTTGGTGTCGAACACGAAAAGAAAATCGTCGTTTACGTGAAAGAATATTAGGTATTGATGGACCAGAAAATTCAACAATAACATCAGTTTCGACAACTAATTCAATAATTGATAATGGTAAAAGTGGACAACAACAACAATCACAACCACAAAGAAATGATAATGGTGATAAAAATCGGTCATTAACAACGAATCAACCACCACCACCTACACATTTGAATCCATTACATGATCAATTACATTCAATGAATCAACAGGAAAAAGTATCCAATAATTTTCTTGCAATCAATGCTTATTCAAAACCATTACAAATTCGTACGGATAGTTCATCGGATAAAATTCCTATTCCGATCGATGATGATGATTTTGTAACTAACGAATCAATTAATAATGATGATAATAATAATCTTTTACCTGATAATCTACCTAATGATGAAGTTTAATTTTTATTTTGTTTTTTTCCGGTTTTAAACTTTTAATATTTATAATTATTGTTATTATTATTTTTTTTTTTTTTGATAATTTAATTAATCAAACAAGGGAAAAAAATTTATGAGAAAAATAAAGATAAATGATGATGATCATAATAATAACGAATCAAAATAATTAGTAATTAATATTTAGATTAATTAAAACGAAAATCAATGTTTGTGTAATATGAAATAGACAAAAAAAAAATAATTTACAAACAAAATAAACAATTCTAGGTATAGAATCTATGACAAAAAACATATCAAATCAAAAAAAAAATCAAAGATGCTTATTAAGCTATATGGAGATTTTCTTCTTTTTTCGGATGGAATAGACAAAAAAAAAAGAATTATGCGAAATTCGAAAGTTCAACGGAAGATATGATGTGAACATTCTAGAGAATGTTGTTAATAATGTTTACTGTCAATAATTTTTAAATGTTTTTCTTCAAAAACCAATGGTAATATATAGCGTCTAGATAAAAATTGAGAAAAAAGTTAGAATCTTTAAAATGTTTTTCGTAACAAACCTTATAGGAATCATTAAAGCAATCATGAATGGAAAGAATAATCGAAAACTTTTCCATGGACAAAAACCAACAAATGTAATCAGTGCAAGTAAAGCCAATTGTGTGGCTGTGAAACAATGTACGGTACGTTGTGGAACATGTCGCAAATAGGATGTGGGAGGATATGAATGCTATAAAGAAAATAAAAATAATATTGTAGAATCAAAAAGAATCTTATTTAACAATAAAAACACAACATACCTGCTCGGTAAGAACAAGAACTACTCGATCACGAATAGAATTATTTCGTAAAGTTGAAAGGGCACAATATAGAAAAAGGCCACAAAGTACAGCAACCGGTATGTTCGACAATGAATTTGGTATTAATAATACTACTGAACCAATCATCAAATGTACAAGTAAACCGGTAACACGTGTTTCACGAACACGTACAACCACATAAGATTTAGTGGAATTATGTTGCGAATCAGTAGCCGGTACAACATCGGCTAATAATCGTGCATGTAATGGTGAATGTGGAAGAACGCCATAAATCCATGGCAAACCAAGCATCGATAGTACGGCATTCAATGATCCCAATACAAATAAATCCCAATGAAAAGCGCTACCCTTTTTCAGATGATTTAATGGTGATCCAACAATCGAAGCACAAACTGATTGAGCGATGAAGAATAACATCGATAGGAAAAAACCAAGGAATGCAGCTAATCCAATGGTTGTTGGTGTTAGTGTTTGAAATGTAGCAAGACGCCATTGAAAATCGGCATTAATTATGAATGAATCAGCTAAATAGTAAAGAATAATAGTTATCATATAAATCGAATAAAAATTCTATACTTACTGTGTACATCGCGAAATAAAACCGATCCAATCATACTAAATGATATGACTGACAATGGTAAAGCATAATCAGCTAATGTATTACGTAGAATTGAATTTAAAAATGGTCTACATATGTGAAAAAAAATCAAATCAAATTGATTAATTTACTCAAGATAATTATTCGTTTAGTGCTTACGTAGAGCTAAAATTATAAAGCAAAACAGCCATTGCAACCGTACCGAGCATAAGAAATAGGAATAGAATACTTTTAGCTGGAAGACAATCTCGAATGGGTATATCATTCAGATCAATTTTATCATCCATATTGTTGAAAGTTGTAAAATTTGAATAGCCTGTTTGATTATCAAAACAATAATGTTTAAGGAAACTTTCATGACATTCGGCAAATGCCGCAGCTGTGAATGCAACAAATACGAATGTAGCGAATATCTCTTCCGTACTACGAGTAACATAACGCATTAGATTCGATACATTTAACAAAGCATAAAGAATAAGATAGAATGCACAAAAACAACCAACAGCTGCAAATAAATCAAGAAAATCAACATGCCAATCTTGAGAGGCTTGATAAACAATTTTGACATATAATGTTAATGGTGCCGTTGTGGCAATAATAACCAATGGTTGGCCACTTGTCAATGCAAATATAAGTCCACCTATTGCCTGGCCAATTAATCCTTGTTTCGGTCCAATTAAACCATGTGTATTATGTTCATTAACAACACCGAAAGCAATCGGTGGTAGAATGCAAGCAAAAAATATAGATAATACAGCTGCCGATACTTTTGATATGGTATTCTTTCCTACGATACCTAAAATTTAAAAAAAAAATTAGCATAAAATTATAATTATAGTGAATGATAATTTACCATCGATAAAATCACTTGGATAATATTTGATTCGACGACGAAAATCATTTACTAAACCTTTGCCGAAACCATAACTTTGTCTCTAATATCAATTATTACAAAAATAAATAAAATGGAATTTTCAAGGAAAAAAACACGTTTCTAACCTGTCTTACAAAATGATCCGGATGATTTTCTAATTTGTCCAATGAAAATGATTTAAATTTTCGTGATGATTGACGACGTTTGAGAAAGGCAACACGATCAGAAATTTGTTGACAAAATTCAGCCTGCGTTTCACATTGTAAAAGCGAAAATCGCAATGTTGAATCGGCAAATAATGATGCAAATGTTCGTGCTATTTCAAATGCAGATTTGGATGTTTTCTAATCATTTGAAAAAAGTTTTTTTGTTAACAAAAATTATTTTGGAAAAAAATTACCTCTTTGGATGGTACTAAAACTAATATTATAAACTGAACGTGTCGCAATGTTGGACCAAAATTACTTGGACGATTTAATCTGGCAATTACGATTCGTCGAGTAGGAAGATTGTTTACCGTTGCACTAATTATAATTGGACAGTTAAATTAGAAAAATTTCTTACTTTTTTTTTAAATTCTCAAAATGCTTACAATGTACATAACCATGTAGGATCATGTAGATATTCACCAGTCTCAGTATGATAGATTCCCTGAAGAAAATCGCTTAATTGAAATGCATTTTTTTCATCATATAATGATGAACGAGCTTCAGATAATAGAGTACCATCTAGATCATTATTAATAGCCTTTATGTATAAAGTAAAAAAAAAAATAGGGTTTTCTTTATGAAATAAAAATTTCAAATTGTAATTTACCGTCAACATTTGGTCAATGATTTCTTCAACAGAATCACCTTGGAGATCAAGTAAAACGCATGGATTTGCCAGAAATGATTTTACATCACGACCGGCACGTACTTCATTGTTAAAATTTTTCGGTTTAACTACTTCATTACGTAACCTTGATATAAGTACTTCTGTATGTGGTATAATCATTTGTCTATTAGCATTATGATCATTACCAATTGCTAAATCTTCATCATCATTATCATGGCCATGATCCATTATCAGACCAATATCTTGACAATCGCTTTCATATTCAGTTTCTTCAAAATTTGATGTTGGTATTAGACTTGTGATTGTATCAAAACAATTTGTTGTTGTTGAATATGGTGATTGATCATCAAAATTTTGTGATGGATTAAGCTGATCAAATGTAAGTACAGTAAAACGGCCAATTTTATTGGATGAAGAATCGGATTGCTGTTGTTGTTGTTGTTTTTGATGTTTTTTACCATGTTGTTTTTTATGTGATATTGTACGATATGGATCAATAATATCTGAATTTATTGTTTCAGATTGTTTATCATCAATATTATTATCCTGTTGTTTATGATGATGATGATTATTTTCATTAACATTTTTCATTTTATAATCAATATTATTATTATGTTCAGAATTGTTTATCGAAATACTATTATTTTCGATTGTTGTATTTGTTTCCGATGAATAAAGTAATGATGTTTCAGTAATACGGCCATCATTATTATTATTATTATTGTTATTATTTGTATCATTATTTACAGCCGATGATTCGGATGTTGATCTTGATGTTGATGCTGATGATGATGAACGATTTATAATCGAACTACCACTACTACTATATGATGTATCCATTTCAATCTGTATTATAACCGGTGATGATGATGATAATCGTTTATTTATTTTTGTTTTTTTCATATTCAAATTCAATCGATCAATTCAAATCAATCAAAATTCATTGATCCAAAAAAGAAAATGGAACAGCAACAACAACAAAAAAAAATCACTATAGTGAAAAACAAAAATCAAAAACAAAAAATTTTCAATGACAATCTTATAAACAAATCAATAGATCACAATACACGAATGAAACAAACAATGATACAAACGGATATCGAAAATGATTCTTTTTTTTCAAAACAAAACAAAAAATTCAAAGAAAAAAATGACTTTTTTTCACCAAAAAAAAAAAATCAATCAACCAATGGTGAATATTAATGGTGAAAATTGTTTAATTGAACAACAACAACAACAACGACTGAAAATTTTCATTTTTTTGCAGAAAATAAATTCAAAAAAAAAATTAGACAACATTTATGTATGGTAAAACCACACACAAAAAACACCATCAAAGTAATGACAAATTTTTATTTATATGGAAAACAACACATGGATCAAATGCTACATGCATCAATGCATGCACACACACACA